TAAAAAAAATCACAGACAGCAAAATAAGTGCTGCTGGGCAAGAGCCAGTAATCTGTAGAGTGATTACTGGCAGGATTAGGGTTAATAGCTCTGGATCGAGCCTTTGGGTCTCACAAAAAAAATGCACAGACAGAAAAAAAGTGCTGCTATAAAAGTGCGGCAAGATAGGGGTTATTGTCTCACAATTTTACAAATCCCTACTTAAATCTCTCTACCTAAACACAAATATCTCTCTCTCACTAAAACACAAGTGTAGACAGGGAGGGAGATCCACACTGATCAGAGTCAATATTTACTAATAGTCAATTTATACTAATATTGACCTGACCAGACAAATGGGGATCATAGTAATAATAAATATTATTATAGGGGCAAGCTCTAATTGGATGACCCTTGCCTGCCTCTATGATGAGGCAGGTTAGGGACACCACCAGAAGCCCCATGATGCACTGCCTTTAGAAAGGCAGCACCATACTGGAAGCCACATGGCTGGCGGGGGGCGGGAGATTTTTTTTTATTTTAATTTTATTTAAGTCTTCACTGAGTGCCTCAACCCCTTGAGTCACTCAGCACACAGGCAAGGCATCGGGACGCCTGCCGATGGTCTGGCAGAGCTGAGGAGTCCCGTTCCATGAAACGGTAAGCCTCCTCTTAGAACGGAAAGAATACAGTACTTCAGCGTATGAGCTATGCCGAAGAGGGTCTCGGAGGGCTCCGGTGAGAGGCTGAATGTGGGGAGGAGGTTGTTGTAGTGAACTAGCGTTCTGAGGGGCACTGTGGCATCATGGCATACCCACATGTCGGAAACTAGCTGACAGCGAAGCTGACAGACTATATGTGGCTGAGAGCTAAGCCAAGATGCAACAGTGAAACTGTGAGTCAAAGGAAGTTGTTCTCTTTTTGATTATTTAATCATTTTAACCATACTACCATGCGATAAGCTGTTGGAGACACACATTGGTACTTAGAGGCATGTCCCTCAATCTGGTATACAGCAAATACTGATCAAAATACTGCAATTCTGATTAATGTGACTGAATAGCCAGATCTTGCTGACACCTGGATAACTATCTCCTACCCTTAAATTCTAAACTCAAATTCTAATTTCATCAAAAAAAGTGAAATTTATTTTTTTCTGAAAATTAGAATTAATCCTACTTAAATCCCTCAGCTCTGTAATTAAACCTACTAAATGGTTCATATTTCCAAAAGCCTACTCTCTGCATACTTCACTTAAGCCCTAACGATAGAAAACAACATTGAGAGAAAAGCAACAAAAGGAAAGAAATAAACAGACATCTCGAAAGGGAAGAAGAAATTTAGCAATGACTACTAAAAACAGAGAAATTTAAGAAAAGAAAAGTATAAAAATATAGCCTCAATATTTTCACCTACAACTACAAAATATCTTCCGCTGGATACATCACACAATATAACAGAAACCTCAATCGTAATGAAAGAAATGAATAATGGTAAATCCCAACTGGATTCCTCCAGTCTATATCGGAGAAGACCACCAGAATTAAAGAAGGGGAGGTTGCCTTTACGGACCTGCAAGCTTTTTTTCCCTGAGCTTGGTTAATAGCTCTGGATAATGTGAGTTATTCCACTTATTATATATAAGGACTTGAATATATAACAATATTACACTATTGGTGTTCTAATTTATGTTCTATGCATATCCCAGTTCTTGTGATATACCCCTTCGGCCAGTGAAACAACTTGTTTTTGTATGTAGCGCCAGACCTCTCTTGTGTTTTTTTTTTTTTATAACAACTCCCATTAGTACAGACTCCAATACAAAACATTTAACAAGAGAATTTACATTTTATGCTAGTTGTCGGATTGGGTAGGACATACTATAATCTGGAAAAAAAATTCCATGTGGATATTACCCTATTCATAGATGTTTATGGTTGGTTTAATGAAGTAAAGTTTTAACTGTAATTTGTTTTTCATTTCACATTAGCAAATGTTATTTTTGTCTTCTTTACATCTATAAAGGGAGTACTCCTCCCCTCTAAATCTAACGCATGACTTAGTGCATTTAGGTTTCTCATTCAATAAAAACAAATTACTACTGGCAGTGCTTAGAAAAAACAGAGTCGGAGTATTGCTGTGTTCATGATTGTCTTTTGACACATGAACTGAGATATGAACTCCAGATTTACAATCCACCCATTAACATAAAGGAAATTTATTGTAGTGCAATGATCTGTCAGTAAAGACTCCGCTGATTTCTTGATCAATTAATCTAGTATTAATGCAGCTGCTCATAATAGTAAATATTTGGTGAGAATCTTGGGAATTGAAGTCAAGCTAAATTGAATAGCCTGAATCGAAAATAAAGAAGTCTCCCTCTATCTGGGAGTGCAGATATCAGATACTGGTAAGAGACCAAATCTATAGTAATTTAAATAAATGATCTAGAGTGGCCATAAGGTATTTTTCTGAATGTCCTGCAATGTAAACATACAGGGAGTGCAGAATTATTAGGCAAGTTGTATTTTTGAGGATTAATTTTATTATTGAACAACAACCATGTTCTCAATGAACCCAAAAACTCATTAATATCAAAGCTGAATATTTTTGGAAGTAGTTTTTAGTTTGTTTTTAGTTTTAGCTATGTTAGGGGATATCTGTGTGTGCAGGTGACTATTACTGTGCATAATTATTAGGCAACTTAACAAAAAACAAATATATACCCATTTCAATTATTTATTACTACCAGTGAAACCAATATAACATCTCAACATTCACAAATATACATTTCTGACATTCAAAAACAAAACAAAAACAAATCAGTGACCAATATAGCCACCTTTCTTTGCAAGGACACTCAAAAGCCTGCCATCCATGGATTCTCAGTGTTTTGATCTGTTCACCATCAACATTGCGTGCAGCAGCAACCACAGCCTCCCAGACACTGTTCAGAGAGGTGTACTGTTTTCCCTCCTTGTAAATCTCACATTTGATGATGGACCAGGTTCTCAATGGGGTTCAGATCAGGTGAACAAGGAGGCCATGTCATTAGATTTTCTTCTTTTATACCCTTTCTTGCCAGCCACGCTGTGGAGTACTTGGACGCGTGTGATGGAGCATTGTCCCGCATGAAAATCATGTTTTTCTTGAAGGATGCAGACTTCTTCCTGTACCACTGCTTGAAGAAGGTGTCTTCCAGGAACTGGCAGTAGGACTGGGAGTTGAGCTTGACTCCATCCTCAACCCGAAAAGGCCCCACAAGCTCATCTTTGATGATACCAGCCCAAACCAGTACTCCACTCCACCTTGCTGGCGTCTGAGTCGGACTGGAGCTCTCTGCCCTTTACCAATCCAGCCACGGGCCCATCCATCTGGCCCATCAAGACTCACTCTCATTTCATCAGTCCATAAAACCTTAGAAAAATCAGTCTTGAGATATTTCTTGGCCCAGTCTTGACTTTCAGCTTGTGTGTCTTGTTCAGTGGTGGTCGTCTTTCAGCCTTTCTTACCTTGGCCATGTCTCTGAGTATTGCACACCTTGTGCTTTTGGGCACTCCAGTGATGTTGCAGCTCTGAAATATGGCCAAACTGGTGGCAAGTGGCATCGCGGCAGCTGCACGCTTGACTTTTCTCAGTTCATGGGCAGTTATTTTGCGCCTTGGTTTTTCCAAACGCTTCTTGCGACCCTGTTGACTATTTTGAATGAAACGCTTGATTGTTCGATGATCACGCTTCAGAAGCTTTGCAATTTTAAGAGTGCTGCATCCCTCTGCAAGATATCTCACTATTTTTGACTTTTCTGAGCCCGTCAAGTCCTTCTTTTGACCCATTTTGCCAAAGGAAAGGAAGTTGCCTAATAATTATGCACACCTGATATAGGGTGTTGATGTCATTAGACCACACCCCTTCTCATTACAGAGATGCACATCACCTAATATGCTTAATTGTAGTAGGCTTTCGAGCCTATACAGCTTGGAGTAAGACAACATGCATAAAGAGGATGATGTGGTCAAAATACTCATTTGCCTAATAATTCTGCACTCCCTGTACAAGGTTATTCACTATATTTTGAATTTGTGCAAATTCCTCCCGATTCCCCAATTCAGATCCCGGAAAATGTATCAAATTCCTCAGTTGAATGGAAGATGAGAAATGCAAAAACCTCAGTAAAAGCACTAAAAAGTTTTTTTTTATTATTATTAATATAGGTGATACATAGGTTATAAATGGACCTAAAAATAAAGCCTCCCAACACACAGTCACATGCAAAACATAGTTCAGACCACAAGCAACCATACCATACAAACACACAGCAAGCAACTGCCCCACACATGTGAGACACCCACAAACAAGATATTTACTGCCAGATGCCAACCCCCCCACACACACACACACACACACACACTCACATTGTCAGACACACTCCGTAAGAAATACACACAGCCAGATAGATAGTGACAAATATAGACACAGTGGTAGTGGGTATCAATGTGCGTCTCAGTGCTTGCATTCAAAGAGGCAACAGGGCTGCAATGTGCCCAATGTATACAATATATACGGGGCAAAATAAATGTATATTGCATGCAGACCACTTAATTTTTCATGTTGCATTCTTATGCTATAATTGTTTAAAGCGGATCTGCCACATTCGGGGGTCTGTTATGTTGGGGAAAATGTTACATATTTACTTGGCAAATACTTACTAGAATCGTACAAAGTTTTCCTGTCCATTCAAAATGTTTGTATTTAGTTCCTTTAAATAATGTGCAATCTATATGTTGAAACAAAATAACATTCAACCCCTTAAGGACCAAACTTCTGCAATAAAAGGGAATCATGACATGTCACATGTCATGTGTCCTTAAGGGGTTAAATGGGAGAATGTGAGTTATTCCACTTAATATATTTAAGGACTTGAATATATAACAATATTACACTATTGGTGTTCTAATTTATGTTCTAGGCAGATCCCAGACAGAATTTACCCAGGACACTCAAAATACTCAGATTCTGGCATGGTTTCTTTTTTTTGCAACTTGCTTGTTGATGGAGTTAAAGCAACAGGGAAGATTAACCACTCTTAGTAGGATAGGATTTGGTTAGTACACTACCTTTATTTAGTACAGAGAGAGACACCTGCTCTATTTGTCTCCTGTAGTTGGAAAACAGACTTCTGGATTCCTGAAAGCATCAGAACACACAACTTGATTAAAAAACAAGTGTTTACAATAAACAAACTTTAAAACAAAATGGAAGATTTCCAAAAAACTGGTTTAATAAAGTATTTTTTTGTTTGTTTTTTTGATTACAGGTATATAAAATGTTTCACGGTAGCCCTATCTATAAGGTTAAGTGCTTGAAACAGCATAAAGTTTTTGTTTCCATTTTAAAACACATCTGACAATCACAAGATTTCATGCCAGAATAAAAATAGCAGAAACCACATCTTAGTTGTATACCTCTACTTAAAATATATTTGTTAATGTTGTAATGTGACAACCTTATTATTGGTATGCCAAAGTTGCAAACTGTTATTTCACATATTTTTAAAATCATTTGGGAAAAAAAAAAGAAAAAAAGAACGAAAGAAAGAAAAACTGAACATAATATGGAACAAGTTCATCAGTACATGAACGATTAAAATTAACATCTGCAAAAGTAGAACAGCATTACTAAAACAAAGAAATCACATAATACAACTGACATCTCCAAAACAATTTAAATAATTTTAAATATTTTATTTTTTGCCTTTTTTTTTTTTTAATCTCGCTACAAATGCTTTGTACAAGTTCTGAACATAAAAGTCCCCGTTAGAGAAATGTAACAAAATGGGAATGATAGTGAAAGCGGTAAAGTGGCACAAATTCACCAAACAAGTGTTCAAACTACGGTCAAAGAGGTAGATTACTTTTTAAACTGATAATAAGGGATCTACAAATGCAAATATCCATAGCCAAATAAATGGAACATTTACACCTCCAAAAAGGTAGAGGAAAAACCCCCAAAACAATAAAAACTGGGAGCCAAATAATTATAAAAGAAGTTAGTTAACAGGCCAAACTAAATACTTTTACCTAACCTACAGTACTAAAATGGATGTGAAGTAACCTTATTTTTAATAACTAGACACAAATGTTTCAGAAATGCCATTTGGTCTTTAAAAAAATAAAAAAAATAAAGTTTAGAAGAAGGTTAACTAATAACTGCCAAGTAATATTTTGTCTACATTTCTGTAAGAATAAATTTATTTAAAAAACAAACAAAAAAAATAAATAAAAAAATGGATGAATGAAAAATGGCTAAATAAAGCAAAACAATATAATAGGCTATATCTTAAATCTGGTGGTTAAAGATGAATATCCAAGATTTCAAAATTGTAATTCCAAATTCATTTTTAAATGTAACCTTTAGAATTCATACAAGCTTTCTTTTTACTCATTTGGGGCTTGTGTCAAATGCAGCAATGTAATTCCAAACCCTGAATTGCCAACATTTAAAAAAAAAAAAAACAAAAAAAAAAAAAAAACACACAGGAGGCATAATTCAAGATCATAATCCCTGCATGAATATTATACTTTTGTTCCAAGTACAATTGTATTAAAAATTGTTTTACTCTTAGAAATTAGAATATCTCAGATGAGTGTTCAGAATCCATTTTGGAATGGACATCCTTTATTTCAACATGCCAAACGACGTTTAAGGAAACTCAAAGTAGGATTTCCACTGCAAGGACTGTGGATTTGTCAATTGCAGCTTGAATTGCATTTAGATTTGTTCTTGTAGTGCTTGCTTTAGATTTATCATGCAACAGTCAGTCCATGGTTTACAGATGATTAGACAGAAGGCCTTGCTTTAAAACATGGTTCTAAAGAAAACAAAAATATATAATTAAATATGCATCTTATAATTAACGAGACACTTTGTGTATTTTACTGAAAGTAAATACATTGATGTAAGAAGAGGGAAGGTATGTCATTCTTAATATAGAATATATCCCAGATGTTGAGTGAGTGAAGCTTACCATGCCCCAGGTAAGGGGTAGGGTTGGATCCCAATGTGTTAATACACTATGTCAAAGAGTTCCACGGGAAAATTTAATTGGGAACCCCTGCCATAAAGTAATTTAGATACTGGCAAGAGAAACAGCCCAGCACTCACCTTTTTAGTAACAAGTGATCTTTTTTTTTTTTTTTTTTAATGCCTCAAAGATACAGCATATCAGAGCAATTTCACCTGACGCCCAGGAAATGTAGCTCCAGGTGACGGGCAGGCATATTTTTTTTTCTGCGTGTCTGGCAGATTAGCCATGCCACAGGCAAGTGGCAGAGCTGCAGCACGAGACATGTGACAGAACTGGGCCAGACAGGTATGTGTGTGCACCTCCATAGTAATCGCTCCCTGGCGGTCCGGTGCTCACTAATGAGACAGAAGGCAGAAATATTGTGTATTCTAACAAAGTGAGTGCAGGAGTGATTACTGTGGTCTGTATCTGCTGGGTTCCCACTGAAACTACACGGACTTTAATCTCTGCTACACCACCAGGGACTTGACATTGGACCAACAGTAAACAAAGCTATCCTCCTTGCAAAAAACTATGCAGGAGTTGGACAAAACAAAGCGCACCCTCACTACGCACAGCTAGCAAACATCACAGAAACATTACACACATGCACAGTCACCACCTGCACACAATATGGAAGGAGGGGGGGAATCACAGAAACATTACACACATGCACAGTCACCACCTGCACACAATATGGAAGGAGGAGGGCAGGGGGGAAAGGGGTGGTAGAGACACTCAGGTTATCCACGTAATTCTTAATTTTCACAAATTAAATGTGAATGGAAAAGCTAAAGCAAAATGTTGTGAGTAGCTGTTTTGTAGAGTTTTCCCAGATCAGCCTTTTTTTTGTCTCAGAATCTCCATTTGAATTTAATTCACAAAAAAGAAAAAAAACTAAACAAGGTTTGGAAAATAACCTTGTCAAGAGCTTTAGGCAGAGTACCAATTGAAACTATTTTGTGTGTTGGGACAAATAGATTGTCATGTATATAGTACAAAAGAACAATCACTCTTTGCCCATAAAACAAAAGTTGAATATATAACACTTATCTTAATTGACAGTGGTGACAGCTTCCTCCAGGGATATCCCAGCAATAATCCCTCCAATACAGAATAGATATATACAAAATGAGAATACAGCTGTATATCTACAAAAAATAAAATGAAACAATAGTGCAACACTGTATGGTAAGGTATAAGTGCGCTGTATAGAATATAACTCACAAGATTGATTAATAATTTGCGCCCAAGGGTGCCTTCCCTGATGAAGATTGGGGGGCGTGAAACCAATTCCTGTTCCAAGGAAGGCGAAATACGACTCGGGATGTGGAGTAAAAAAATATTTCTTCTTTATTTAAAAGTAAATACAAATAAGCTGTTCTGGTACCAAGTCCTATGCGTTTCGTCCCCCCGTCCCCCCCCAATTTCCCGGGTTTCGGCAGTTGTGCAACGTCACTTCCGGTTCGGCGATTCATTCTTGCGATCTAAATGGGTGTGTGCGTTTCATTACAGGGAAGCATGCGTTCCACCTATAGCTTTCTATGATAAGTAGGTTAATCATAGGAGCCCCTAGGGCTCAAAAAATAAAAAAGAAAATCGAAACTGAAAATAAATAAAAAAAGGAACAGTTATTTACAAGGCACAGGATCTTTTGCAAACGAAAAAAACATGGAGATCTGCTCATTAAGATCTCTATGTATACATGGAAGGTTAAATATTTTGCCCATGTTGGCTAATTTTATCGATGTTTGTGATTTCTAGGCACCTGAGTGATTAATGGCAATGTTGCTATATGTTGAATTCCAGCCACTTCCATGTAAAAAAGTAATAAGATCTGCTTTTTTTATACATACATTTTTGGTTTGGAATATGAGAAATGCCATGTCCCAACATCTGAATCAACAGAAAAAGGATATGAAAATATAAAATATATATATATATATATATATATATATATATATATATATATATATATATATATATATATATATATATAAATAATAAAATGAAATAAAATAAAAGTGAATATCAAATCTGAAAATAAAAAATTAAATTTAAATCAAAATAGAAATAAGGAAATGAAAAAAAGAAAATGAAAAAAATCATAATAAAAATAAAAGTAATAACAGAATAAAAATAAATATGCAATATGAATAAAGGCTAAATATTAGTGTGATATTTCTTCCAGGTCCTTTTGGTTGGTAAATGGCAATCTAATTTACATTAAAGAAAGCAAATGATATCTATTTCAGCATTGAGACCTCCGGGTTCCAGGGTGCCTAACTGATGGATCCAGAAGGTCTCACACTGTGCTAGTTTCTTCTCCCTATTACCACCCCTCCAATGAGGTTTTATGTGTTCTATACCAAAGCACCTGAAAGCCTTCCAACTAAAATGGAGACAACGGTTGCAATGGATGAGGACTGTATGTTTAATATCTTTTCTTCGTATATTATTTTGATGTTCCAAGAACCTAATTTTTGGGGGGCGGGGCCTGGCCGCCATGCTGACCGGTCGCATGCGGGAAAGGCTGCTGCACAATCTGGCCCTTTGGACCGAAAAACATGGCACATCACACCTAAAAGTAGCCAGAAGTGCAGCACAGTGAACAGGCAGCTGTGGGCGCTACTGCCGACCCCAAGATCGGGAGTTTTGAGGCCCCTGAAGGCTGTGCGAAACTTTGGGGCCTGTGTGGGAGGGGAGCGGGGTGGACGGCTGCCACCCTGTCTCCAACTCTACCGGCCACACAACAGCACTGGGACACTCCTCATGGGTCCCGTTTTCCCCCCCCCATGGACCTGCTGACAGGCTGCGGTCGCTTCCCTCAACGGAGCCAGCGGTGACAGTGATCGAAGACCGGTTAATTGGCGGGAATTACAAGCACGCATCTAAATGCCATCACAAAGTACAGTGCTCGGGGGACTGTGGGGCTTCATTATCGGGACTCCAGTGGTTTTATCCTCTTGCTAGCAGTTCCTAATACTAGCAATGTGCAGGGTTGTTTGACCTGTTTAGTGCAGTACAAATGTTTATTCTCTTGCGAACGCAAAGCCATACCACCCCAACCTTAAACAAAACTCCTACTGTCGTATGCATGTCTAGCCTAGTCTTCTCTTTTACACACTACTAATGAATCATAGGCTGCTGCTCTACTAACTACAAATCACAATGGGATATGTTTAAAATGAACTAGCCTATCTGCCCATAATGTTGAAGCATGCTATTCCTATTACTTAAACATAACATTCATGCAAGTACTTAAAGCATGTATCCAGTAAATAATAGACAGAACATAATGCCTACATGTAATCTTAGCTTGTACCTATTTTATCAAAAAATGTGCATTGCCTAGCAAATACCGTTATCTATGCCAAGCAGCTCGAAGAATGCCGTTGGGGTACCTACAGCCAGTTTGTAATCACTATCGGCACTGCAAAAAATAAAAAATAAAAAAAAAGAACCTAATTTTTAATTTCCTCTTAGTTTTACCTACATATTGTTTGCCACATGGACACTGCAGTATATACACCACATAGTCCGTGTGGCATCCAATATGGTCCCTAATACGGTATCTTTTCCCCGTTGATGTGCTGACAAAATCTTTTAAGATTTCTCTTTTGTTTCCTGTTGTTGATTTCCATTTTATTATATATATATATATATATATTTTTAATTTATTTTATATTTTCACATTTATATTTTCATATCCTTTTTCTGTTGATTCAGATGTTGGGACATGGCAGTTCTCATATTCCAAACCAAAAATGTATGTATAAAAAAAAAAAAAAAAGCAGGCAAGAACTTGGAGATCTTATAACTTTTTTACATGGAAGTGGCTGGCATTGAACATATAGCAACATTGCCATTAATCACTCACTCAGGTGCCTAGAAATCACAAACATCGATAAAATTAGCCAACATGGGCAAAATATTTAACCTTCCATGTATACATATTGATCTTAATGAGCAGATCTCCATGTTTTTTTCATTTGCAAAAGATCCTGTGTCTTGTAAATAACTTATGTTTTTTTATTTATTTTCAGTTTCGATTTTTTTTACTTTTTGAGCCCTAAGGGCTCCCATGATTAACCTACTTATCATATAAAGCTATAGGTGGAACGCATGATTCCCTGTAATGAAACGCACACACCCATTTAGATCACAGGAATGAATCGCTGAACCGGAAGCGATGTCGCGCAACTGCCGAAAACCGGAAGTAACATCACGGAATCGTCGAAACCCGGGAAATTTGATTACAAACAGCTGCATCAATGAACAGACGCACAGTGAAGCACCAATGAGGAACAACCTTCAGTATAAAAGAAAGGACTCGGGGGGAGGGTTTTTATGGTTTATTTGTATCTGTTTTATTGCGGTTACTCATCTCCATACGAAGAGGTCCCTGAGGAAGTCCTTTTGGACGAAATGCATAGGACATGGTACCATAACAGCTTATTTGTATACTTTTACTTTTAAATTCTTTTAAATAAAGAAGAAATCTTTTTTACTTCACATCCCGAGTCGTATTTTGCCTTCCTTGGAACAGGAATTGGTTTCACGCCTCCCCATCTTCATCAGGGAAGGCACCCTTGGGCGCAAATTATTCATCGACCTTGTGAGTTATATTCTACACAGTGCACTTATACCTTACCATACAGTGTTGCACTATTGTTTCATTTTATTTTTTGTAGATCTACAGCTGTATCCTGATCAAGTAGATTGTCTGATCAAGTAGACTGTGCTACTGCTTTAGTCCTTTGGACAAGTAGATTGAAAGAAAAAAAAAAAAAGAAAAAAATAAAAAGTGTCCACACCCTGCAGAGGTCTCGTTCTGTATCTGAAATTACCAGTATATGTAAGAGATCGAAGAGTGCATTTATTTGGGTCTTCTTAGGATCAGAGCTTTGAAAATTATATCACTTGCTCCACCAAGGTTTTAAGCCTGTAAGCATGTATAACACATGAGAAGCAATTGACAATCAAACAGGGGTGGCTTCTATCATTCTGGCTTAAAGGACCACTATAGGCACCAAGACCACTTCAGCTCAATGAAGTGGTCTGAGTGCCAGGTCCCTCTAGTTTTAACCATGCAGCTGAAAACATAGCAGTTTCAGAGAAACTGCTATGTTTACACTGAGGGTTAATCCAGCCTATAGTGGCTGTCTCACTGACAGCCACTAGAGGTCGCCTCCGCGATTCTCACTGTGAAAATCAGTGATAAGACGCTGAAGTCCATAGGAAAGCATTGAGTAATGCTCTCCCCTATGGGCAGATTGAATGTGCGCGTGGCTCTTGCCGCGCATGAGCATTCGGCATGGACATTGGCAGGAGGAGGAGAGTTCCTCAGCGCCGAGGGAGCCCGGCGCTGGAGAAAGGAAAGTGGCTATAACCCCCTTAGCCCAGAGGGTGGGTGGCCATGAAGGGGGGGGGACCTAAGGACTACATAGTGCCAGGAAAACGAGTTTGTTTTCCTGGCACTATAGTGCTCCTTTAATAAAGATGAGCTTCTACTATGCAAGAAAAATAGAACTTTAAACTGCAGGTAATAGGAGGAATGGATTGACGGACTATGAACAAGGAAGTGGGTACATTTGAAAAATATTGGGAAGGATGGAAGTCTGGAGGAATGAAGACTATGGAATGAAAAGCCTGGAATAACATGGGTGAAGAATCGGAAAAAAGGTTTAACATGACTGGGACACTTGGGAAGATTATTTGGAAAGCTGGAAATACAGCTGACTGCTGGTAAATTTGAGAGAGCTACGTGTGCTAATCTGCACTAGCCAATTAAGCTTTACTGAGCAGATGCCCTGTTTGGGTAAACTTAGGTATAATTTCTATAAATGAATAAAAGGAACACTCCAAACAACACAACCACTACAGTGTGCAGTAGTGAGTAAGGTGCCAGGAGTGGCCTCTCAGGGTAAATAGTATAAGAAACTGAGATTAGCATAGGTTGCAGCCTCTCCTGGAGCCAGAAATTCTTGCTAGGAGCTTCCATTAGCTCCACTAAGCTAAGCTCTACTGTGCAGAGCTAGCTCATTGACAGAGAGGGCGTCAGATGAGTGCCCTCTTCCAATAAGACCTGCAGCTATGGGATTAGATCAGTGCTTCAGCTTCTGACAGCAGAGAACAAGGCAACTAGCCTCTGGCAAACTCTAGGTAAGTTGTCAAACTGTTTAACTACTTACCCTGTGAGTGTTCCTTTTAAATGACAGGGTTTATCCACTAAACTGAGAATTGATCAGAGAACAGCATATGGTAGGCTAAAGATATGCTTGAGTTACAAAATGTTTTATTTTCTCCCCTCTTCTTTTAATCTGGCAACTTTTGAATAAAAATAGCAATTCATTTGGTAATAACGCTAATAACGCTGTCAGGGTTATTTACTAAAGTGAGGATTTCAAACTGGAAGCCTAGCGGACTTAAAAGAGTTTTTTCAGCTTAAATTTACTCTGGAATCCTGACAATGCACACTTTAGTAAAATAACCCTGTGTGTGTTCCTTTAAAAATGAAAACAGAAAGGTGTGGGGTTACAATCTAAATCTGACAAATAAAACAGACTAATTGGATCTGGGATTTCAGAAACTAAAACATGAAAAGCAGAATATGGGTTGGCGGACCAGATGAATCAAGTACAAGTAGACTTTGCTCCTTGAGAGCAATCCTTATTTGCAAGTTTAAGGTTTTTTTTTGTTGTTGGTTTTTTTTCATAATTCCAAGCATTTTCCTGACATGTACCACTTGGAGGAGCAGTTACTGGAATTTCCATTAATATTCATTGAGACCAAATGAACATTTAAAGGGACACTGTAGGCACCCAGACCACTTCTGCCCATTGGAGTGGTCTGGATGCCTTGCCCCTATCCCATTAGCCCTGTTATCAGTGGAGATTGGAGAAACCCTAGTGTTTTGATTACATGGCTAATCCCACCTCTAGTTGCGGTCTCTCAGACAGCCGCTAGATGGTGCTTCCGAGTTCTTAGAGCATGAAAAGTGTTTTAAATGACATTCAACATCCCTACGCTCTGCATGAGGAGGTCTAGCATCACCGGAATCCCCATAGGAACGCATTGCATAGGAAAGAGTAATGCTTTCCTATGGGGAGGTCTAATGCGCGCTTGGGCCATTGACGCGCATGTGCATTAGGTCTCACCCGCCAGCAGCTGGTGGCGTGGGCAGAGCTGAGCCAGCGCCAAGGGACATCGGCGCTGGACCCAGGTAAGTGACTGAAGAGGTTATTAAAAGAGAAGGGGAGGTGAGAGAGGGGGGAGGTGAGAGAGGGGGTGCGAGAGAGAAGAGGGGGCGAGAGAGAAGAGGGGGCGAGAGAGAGAATATATACACACAAAAATTGTGAGTTTTAGTTACAAATATAAATGAGAAATACAAAACTATTGTGTATTACCTTGAATCGTGTTTTCCATATGAATCATCTCGTTTATCGTTTAGGTATTCCGTGCTTGAAGTTAGTTGAGAGCTCCTAGTAATTGGGCCACCAATTCTCTCCCTAGATTTGCCTCGGAACTTATCCTTTTTCTTCTTTTTTGTCATGGATTTATTTTGTAACTTGCCTTTTTGCACTCTGACATGGAGTTTCCGAGATGCTTTACCAAAGGACTGTTGCAAGTTACTCAGTGCTATTTTTTTTGTCTTTTTCCCCTCTATGGCAGTATGATTTTTGGTTATTCTCAAGGGGCTAGAGTTCCTTACAATAGAAAGATTCTGCTTTTTTGCTTTAACCTGAGGTGCATTTTTCACACTTTGCTTGTATTTAACCGGTACTGGACTTAACTGAACAGGGGAAGGAGCCAAGCTTCTCGCTCTGGTTTTACCTAGATGAGTCTCTGTGCTTTGCATTTTTATTTCAGTGTCAGCTGTCCTCCGAGTGCTGCTGATCTTGCGTTTCTTAGTAGATGATGATAAACCAGAATTGGCCTTTTTGGATGACTTTGTATGTTTTTTGGGTGGTGGAGATGCTGGCTTCTTTGGACAACTAAAGGATGCATGCTTGTTCAGACTTCTAATGTAGGTGAACTTCCTGTTACAGTATGGACAGACGTGAGAATCGAGATCAGAGGGAAGAGACATTTTAAATTCTGATTTTTGCTTGGCAGTTTTGTTCTTCTGCACAATTGCTTTGTGGACAAGTTGTTTTTTCTTTTTCAAGGCATTCAATTTGAGTTTGCCTGAAGACATTTTACCCATTTCAATGGTAAAATTAAGTTTCTTGGGCTGTCCCATCCTCCGAAATGAGCTCTTTTCAGGGGATTCAAGAACCACAACTCCATTTTTAGGCTGCACAGTCTGTCTCAAGGGAACTGGATTTTTTTGAGGAGTGTATCTCTTTTTGTCACTTGCAGAAGCACATACCAAAATATGTTTGTGTAACTCTGGCATATTGTCAACTCCTTTTCCACATTTAGTGCAACGTATAGCAGTAGTAAAGGTTTGTGGAATATTGTGAGTTGTGAAGTTTGTTGCAGTTGCCCCAATACCCATGGGATTTTTATTGTGGTATTGGAAAGGAGGTGGTTTAAAGCTGGGGTAGTGCTGGTTAAGGCCCATTCGAACATCAGGATCTTTTGCCTTTTCCCCAGAAGCCATAATTTTTATTGTTGTATAAAGTTCTTCTGACGAATCATTTAAATCACCGTCTTCTTCTGGAGATGGAGTCATTGGATCATCCTCTGCTATTTGATTGTGAATTACATTTGCTTTACTTGGATCTGTAAAGTTTTGCGGTCTAAGGGTCCCACTTTCTAATTCATGATGACTGTACTCTTTATCTGCATGTAGATCCTGTTGATGTTGCTGTAAGTTACAAAGAAAAGCAAATTCCTTTTTGCACAAGGAACAAACAAAAATCTTCCCAACTCCATGAAGCAAGGAACGGTGTTCTGAAAGGTTTGACACCTCTTTAAAAAGCTGTACACAAAATTCACATTTGAAGGGAAATTCTTCAGCGTGCACAAAAATATGTTTGGCAAGGTCTTTAATAGAGGTGAATGGCGATTCACAAACATTGCACACAAAGGTTTTATTAAAACTTTCAGCAATAGACTCATTCTTCCTGATGTTTGAAGGCTCACTGTGTGTCAAATGTTGCTCAGACTTCTCTTTCTTAACAAATGTTGTTGACGAATCAGGGATAAAAGGGGGTGATACAATAGATGAAACAACAGATAAAGGTGGAGGAGAAGAGCATGACGAAGAAGATGAAGAAGAAGAAGAGGAAGAAGAAGAGGAGGAGGAGGAGCTGGAGGATGAAGATGAAGAAGAAAGAGTAGGAGGACCAGGAGATTCACAGACTGAATGATCAGTTGCAGGAGAAGGTGGTGGTGAAGGGGATACCGTACGTGAAAGTACTGGAAGCGGAGATTGTGTACTGGCAGAAAATGGTGATGGGCATGATGGAGTGGGAGGAACACTGCAAGAAGAATCAGGAAGTGATGAAAGATTAGTTGTGAGAAGAGGAGGAGGTGATGTAGCATCAGTCATACAATGAGTAGATGGAGAAGGTGAAGGAATCTCTGAAGGAGTAAGAACAGGTGGTGACTGACATGCTGGTATAGATGTTTCGTCAAGTGGAGCAGGTGAAGCATCATCAGGAGGGAGAGATACTTCATCACCTGAGCCAACACCAAGTTCTGAAACCATTCTGTGCTCTTCTGTTTTACAGGACAGGAGAGCACTCTCTGATTGTGGAATGCTTTCCCCCGTATCTCCAATTCCATCATACTCATTTAATAAAACTTTCTTTAACATACATGTCGTTGGTTTTTTCTTTTTGATACCAATACATAAATTACTCCCTTTGTACTCCTTCACATCTGTGTCACTCAAGGGCTTTTTAGCAATACGAAGATCTAGAACAGCCTCCCAAGGAACCTGTGATCGGCTACTGCTTTCTGATTTTTGTTTTAAACCGCTAGATAAATCCAGTGGCTGTTGGTTGAAAACATTTCCAAACACTACATCTGAAGTCCAATTTCTACACATTTTTGAATCTTCTGAGCACATAGGGCTTGCATCATCTTTCTCCTCTCTGCCAGACAAACTCCAAACAGGTGAACTACCCTGGCTTTCTAACTTTGGTATTTTTGAACAAACACCATCATTCCAAGCTGGTTTTACATCCATCTGCTTAACAAAATCTTTAGGAGCTGGGCTGTGTTGTGGAGAATTAGGAGGAGAGATTGTGCGTCTTTTAAATCTGTTAGATCCTGTTGACAGAGAGGACACAGCAGGGATGATTTTGGGAACCTCTGAAAGTAAAGATGGACTGAGAGGGGACTTTCTACTATCTTGCATTTGAAGAAGTTGTTTCAGTTTTGAAGACAGGAATGCACCTTTGTCTTTTTGAAATGGTAAATTATCTCCTACTGAAACACTTAGTGGTATGCTTAAAGAGCAAGAAGGGGTTATTGGCTCAACCTCCACCTCAGTTTTTATCTTTGATAGCAGAGGTGGACTAATCGTTCTTCTCTTTTTTGGTTCAGTTTTTCCACTACAAGTGGAATCGCCAAGTGAATTATCTGATGCAGTTTGCAATGGTCTAATGTTCTGAGAGACTTCAACTTTAATTGGAGTAATTAGACAACCAATACCCAGTGTATCTGAAGAGTTAGCTTCCACTTCAACTACATCACAAGTGCTTGTATTGCTTGGTTGTATTTTACCATCAATATAGTATGTCAGATTCTCTGTTATATTATTGGAAATATCCATTATGTATATGTCATCAGCTTCACCATCTTCTTCAATTTCTGTATTTGCTACATATATATTTTCAACAGGTGGAGTTTGTTCAGATTTTAGCTGAGGATCTACAAATAGATTTCCTTTTCTTCTCCCTTTTGGAAGAAGATGGCGCTCATGAACTCTGCGCTGATGCCGACGCATGTTTGTATGAGTTCCGAAAATCTTCTTACAATATTTACAAGGATGCAGTTCCCTGGAGTCTCCATTTTCTTCTGCAAGACCAGAAAGTGATGCTTCTCTGTCAGAGTCTGTTAACTTATAGTTAAGCTTAGAACTGTTGTGTTCCTCAGGTGCTTTCAAAGAATCGATAATATGTTTCTGATCTTGACTGAATTCACTGGTTGAAGATAAAATTAAAGACTTTCTTTTTGGACCAGCTTCATGGCGTCGTTCATGTCTCCTGCGATTAATCTGTGTGCCAAATGCCTTCCCACAGTATCTGCATTTGAAAGCATGGTTTACAGTTGAAACATGAATATGCATATGTCGCTCTAGTCCTTGTTTGGTTGTAAATTTGCGTTCACAATGCTGGCATGGGAACATAAAAGATTCAGAAAATTCCCCATTCACTTCCCCCTTTGTTTTAGGGAATTTAGCAGCTGGTTTCTTTTTGGGGGAGCTTTCTGGAGTTTCATCAGATGTACTTTTAAAATCATCTAGTGCTTCTAACCGGTCGTCATCTAGGTTTACAGAGTCGCGCTCTGAACTTTCTTTATTAAAATCATCAACAAATTCCTGCCCAGCAATAGCTGCCTCAGGAGTTTTCTGGTCTTGTAATTTCTGTACTTCTGGAGTGGAGATGGAAATAAGTTCTGGAAGGACGTTCTGGTTCACCATTTGTTGGATCACAGCAGTTTGTTCAAGAGACAGCAATGGTGAACCAAGTGGTTTTGCATCGTCTTCTTTAGCGGCTGTAAAAAGGAAGGAGAGAAATAAGATTTTACTTTTTGTTTGTAAAAATGTAAGCAAATCACAATTAGAAATTGCATAATCCTAAATAATGATTTATTCTCGACACCTATTTTTCTTGTACATTACAGATACATGTATATGATAGACAAATTACTAGATATATTTAAAAAAAAATAAGAGTTCCATTAAAGAAACGGTAAAACCTGCTTTGGTTTACATTCTCTATTCATTTCAATGTACTAAATGGATTCTTTGTTTATGATGGTATTGGCTCCACAACATTCCAATAAGCCAAGACCCTAGCCTAATAGAAAAAAGACAAAGCTAGGGTGCTATATATAGGTTCAATACTCAATGCAACTTATAAAAGAATTAAATTTTTGTTATCATCTGGTCCTTCTGACTGACCAGGGTATTTTGTGAGGGAAAGCGTTCTACCATCACTTATATATAAAAAAATAAATTAAAAAAAAGAAAAACCAAACACAACTTGGTGGAAAGGAAAGTTGGGCAAATAAGTTACATTTACTTAAATGATCACTATAGTGTCAGGAAAATAATCTTGTTTTCCTGGCACTATACTGTCCTCAGGACCCCCCTCCCGCTGGGTTGAAGAGGTTATAGCCACTTACCTTTATCCAGCGCCAGGCTCCCTCGGCGCGCGCATTAAAAATGCCCATAGGAAAGCATTTCTCAATGCTTTCCTAGGGAAGTTCTGCATGCTCCATGCAATTTTCGCATTGAGCGTCGGTGAAGCGCTTCTAGCGGCTGTCAGGAAGACAGCCACTAGAGGCTGGATTAACCCTGCAATGTAAACATAGCAGTTTCTATGAAACTGCTATGTTTACATCTGAAGGGTTAAAACCTGGGGGACCTGGCACCCAGACCACTTCATTGACCTGAAGTGGTCCTTTAAGGTGTAAACTGACAATATATTCTACACAAAGGGCAATAATTCATGTTTGATACATACTGAGGAGGAATAGTCTCATCATTATTATGGTTTTTATATAGCGCCAACAAATTCCGCAGCGCTTTACAGTGGGTAGACCAACAAACATGTAGTTGTAACATCATCACTTACTATAGAGCAGTCATTACCAAGATTGCATTTGACTCCAAGGAAAGCCAGTTATTGTTATCATATATTTTTGCTGCTTTATTTATGGTCCTGTATATTGCTATATTACTTTATGCTTGTATATTTTAATCTCTTGCTTCTCTCAATGCCTTGCTCTCTGCACTCAGAGACATAGGCTTGATGAACTGGCACAGTCTTAATGCAATGACATGGGATGATATACCAGACAAGGGATCAGAGCCAGACACACAGTGAGTCCCTCTTGGGACTATTCCCCACGATTTGCTTTGAAATCATGGGTTGTCAAGAGGTTAATGAATAGTTGCATAATGTGGCCCCATCTTACCTTCTGGTGAGTCCTTCATTTCAGTTCCGCCGATTTCTGGTAATGCTTTCTTTTCTTGTTTATTTAGCTCTATTCTCTTTTTATAATTAACAGATTTCCTTCTGCCTGGAGAAATAGAATTGACAACATTTAATATACAATTGATTGGCATCTTACATTTAACTAATTTAAAATTAAACGGTTACTGCAAGCACCATCACCACTTAGTGATTTGAAGTGGCCATGGTGCTAGGAGCCTGAATGTGTTGCGTTTTATAGTGAAACACTTCAAACACACACACACACACGTAAAATGCACATTTCTCTGCATGTTGCTGTAACAAGCCCAGCACAAGCATTCAGCGCCTGAAGCTCTGTATCCAATGCTTCTCACAGAAAACCAATGAATGCGTTTGGCACCATAATCTTGTGCATGATGACACTTGAATATTGAAGGTGTTAAAGGGTTACTCCAAGCTTCATAACCACTACAGCTTGCTTACCAAGAGAACTCTGGCTGAGTTCCCCAGTAGTGTGGCAAACAATTTAGCAACAGTTTTCCTCTTTACCCAAGTCCCCACCAGGCTCCATGATTCCACGGTCTCCCAGACAGCCACTAGAGGCCGCTTCTACGATTCTCAGTGAGTAAATCGAACTGAAATGACGCTGGACGTCCTCACGGAGTCCAGCGTCAGATAAGACCCCCCATAGGAAAGCACTGAGTAATGCTTTCCTATGAGCGGGTTTGAATACGCATTCGGCACCACTCTGGAGCTGATGTCGGCAGAGGGAGGAGAGGTCACCAGCGCCAAGAGTTTTAACCCTTTCAGCTCAGTGGGGGGACGACGACACCTATTAACCCCCCTCAGGATCCCCTATTAACGGGTTTGTTTTCCTGGCACTATAGGATCGCTTTATTCTCTGTATGTGCAGCACAGACTCCAAACACCCTGGGACCACTTCAAATCACTGAAGTGATCATGGTGCTTGGATTAAACCTTTAAGTAGTAAGTGCTTCTAGTGGTAGTCAGTCTGACAACCACTGCATGTATTACTGTTTTTTGTTTTTAGAAATTACAGATTTACATAGTTTGCGAACTGTAACAGCAAAACCACTACATTAGTGTGTACTGGTTTTGAAGCCTAGAGTCTCAAATTAACAAAATGTCAAAAACCCTGAAGATTTCAAACTTATCCCTGGAATTTTTTTTTATTTTATTTTTTTTTAAATGACCCATAGTAATAAACATATAGCCATCTGCCCTGAGACTATGCATAGAGTTCACTTAGAGTATCTTTAGGACATTACAGTTTCAAGTTATACAGCAGATGCATTAGCAATTCTGGTTACCTTAGCAACAGAACAGTCAGTAGACAGTGCAACAACTACAAGGTATATTTGTGAATCAAATACTGAAGAACCAAGTTCCCATTTTAAGGCAGACCATTTCAATAGTTCTAATTTAGCCGGCTGATCCTGCCCCCATGGCGGAGATAATCAGTTGTGATGATTTCAACCAATCCAATGCATTCCCATAGGAAAGCATTGAAGCATTGAGAGGTTATTACGCATGCGTGGCAAAAAACACTGCTCTGTGCCAATCTGCATCTCATAGAGAGACATTAATTCAGTGTATCTCTATGGGGAACATTAGGCACCATCATACAGAGCGTGGAGACCTGAACACAGGTGCTGCACAGGGTGCAGCACTGGACTAGGAGGCATCTCCAGTAGGCATCTGAGTGACTACCACTAGAAGTATAACTAGGCAGCAATATAAACACTGTTTACATTGAAAAGCCTGCAGGGTCAGGCTACAGACACCGGTACCACTACATTAAGCTGTGTCCCGTTAAGTATTTTGCATTTTTGTTTTTGAAAATAAAGGTTTAAAAAAAAAAAAAAACTTGCTCCTAGCTTTTTTAGCAGGCTCCTAGATTCAAAGCAAATTTGTCAAGACCTGATGTAAGTAACAAAAGCACACATCTCTCACTGTAGTGATTATACGTTCTTCAGTATCCTGGTGCATGAATTCAACAGAGATAGTCACTATATCCATGAAAACACAAATCAATTTACATCAACACCTCATCTAATCAGTTTACCACTTAAATAGCTTTTAACACTTGGAGCACACTAAATGTCTGTCTTTTTCAACCAAGTTATATTGAGCCTCCCTGACTAAAATTGGGGAAAATAAAAAAATAGTTTTGAGAAATGAAAGGCTTTCTTTAACCCCTTAAGGACACATGAAATGTGTGACAGGTCATGATTCCCTTTTATTCCAGAAGTTTGGTCCTTAAGGGGTTAAAGGAATTCTCCAGTGCCAGGAAAACAAACCTGTTTAAACCCCTTCAGCTACTTACCTGAATCTAGCACCAATGACGCTGGGTCAGGCTATGAGCTGAAGTGGTCTGAGTGCCTGGAGTGTCCCTTTAAGTTATGACACAAAGCATCATCAACCAGCAAGTCATGGATGCTGGTAGCTGCATTATGGAAACAGCTGAAGCACCTAAAGTTATCCAACCCTGTGCTAGAAAGACTCCTCAGGGTAGCATTAATAGATACAGAGATGGCCAATGTAAAAACTAAATTCAAAGGACGCAAGCAGCAGTAATGTGATAAATACGCCATATAAAGCATGTTCCTAGTTTTAAGAATGATTTGAGGCAAATAAGACAAATACATTTCTCTAAGTCTTTTTCAAACAAACACTATAGTGGTTACAACCACTATAGTTTAATGTAGTGGTTCTGGTGTCCATAGTCTGTCCCTGCAAGCTTAGTATTGCATATGTTTTCTTTTAAGAGAAAAGGCAGTGTTTACATTGTGGCTTATTAACACCTCTAATGGCTATCAAACAGCCACTAGAGCAGGGAAAGGCAACATTTAGTACTCCAGATGTTGTGGACTGCATCTCCCCTGATGCTTTGTCAGCACTATGGAAGATGAAGTCTATAACATCTGGAGTGCCAAAGGCTGTCTATACTCGCACTAGAGGGACTTCTGGGATTAGGTCCTACAATCTTTTCTGGACCTACGTTCAGCATCTCTACTCTGTACATGATGGAGATGCTGAATACTCTCCACAAAGATGTACTGAATTGGCACTAGACTGCATTTTGTTGAGCACATGTAATAGCTTCCTAGTGCTTCCCTAACCAAAAACATACCCCCCCCCTTCTCCATCCCAATCTTTCATTAGTTTGCTAAAATACAACTCACCCCCCCCATGTCCGCACACTGACGCAACACAGAGATACACCCAGATGTCTGCACACTGATGCTCCACCTAAATACAATCATTGATTCCCACACTGATGCGCTACAGAAATACACACACACCGACTGACATTTCATAGACATATCTCCAGCATGATGCACACTGAAACAGGGTAATGAGACTATGGATGAAGAGCAGGGTGGCCATCAGTTAGTGATAGCCAGTCCTGCTGGGTCGAGCAGTAGGATTCTGAGTGTGTATAACATTATGGAGTATTTAAAATATATCCCAACTTATTCAAAAAGGGTTACTCACTAAAGTGTGAATTCACTTTAGGCACTTATTTGTTTAAGGATGTTGTAAGTAGATGCTGAGGTAACCTTAATTTTCCTCTTTTATTTTAACTAGATTAATAGAAAAAAAAATAAACAAACAACAGCTTATCAAAACAATTGTTAGTTGCGGCCCTAATTCTACCTACATGAAAAGCTCAAAAGAGACAGAACTAACTTAAATATCTTGAAAAATACGACTAGAAGAGATGAAGAAGATTAAAACAAATTAAAAACCCTACCAAACAGCTGCTTAAAGTAAATGAGCTAAAACACAGTAAATGTCTCTACCCTGCAGGGATTTTGATTCAAAGAATTCCTGCAAAACTGGAAATACCACCAAGAACTTCATCTGCCTCTAGTATTGCACATACACATGTAATATTTGACTCATCCAAACCTGTACAATGCTTGGGAGACCTGAAACGGAAATTTGAGTACTTTAAAGTTGCCTTAAAATAAAAAAATAAATAAAAATTAAGGAGAAAGGGGTTAAAAAACCCCCAGAGGAATAGACATAAGTAACGTTATCCACGGTCTGGAGCAATTATTTATGGGCTGGCAAGTAAAGGAATAAGATTTTAAATATAAATAATACAATATATACCAACCCTGACAAGAAGAACTTTAAGGCCTGGTTACCTTCTAGTAATCTAGTAGAAGACATTTAAAAGGAATCCTGTGAACATCATGACCACTTCAGTGATCTGAAGTGGTCATAGTGCTTTAAGATGATATGTGCAGTGTTTCAGTTAAAACACATTTATTTAGTGTTGCTGCTAGTAGTGTAACGCCACCTCTGAATAAGAGCTCTGGGCTGCTAATGGCAATTGTGTACATGTAAGGTGACAGACGACCAACATTAATATCAGCATAGTCCCTCTTTTAATCTGCCCTAAGTCCTCTCACCCGCCTGGTTTCAGTACGCTTCTTGCCCCTAAATAAAATTGGAGTGACGTCACAGGTGTTTTGGCTGCAGGATGAACTTGTGCCTCAGCATGGGGACACGGGTATGTTTAAGTTTATTTTTAAGCTGGGGAGGGGGAACAGTTCTATTTAATAGATTTACTGGGCCTACACATCATATTCTCCAATAGCAAACCACAAACCATATGGTTTTGTATTTATCTAGTTAACTGTACAATTTCTTGTTCATGCCAAAATCATTTACCAACTGAACATGGTTGCATTTTACATCAACCACTGATACAAGGTGTGAAATTATACTGCAAAATGATATATTTTGACATATCACCTAATGCACTATACATGTTTTAGAATAAATTAAAGAAACAGTTAAGGCACCTGAACAGCTTTACAGTGTAACCATAGTGCCTCTTTAGCTGGGCTCTCACTTCCAAAGGGAGATGGAAAAGGAAGCATCACTTCAAAATGTTATTCATGAAGTTATTTTTTAGGGTCACGGGTGCATATGCTTCACAGGCATAATGCTATCATGAGGGGATGTAGTGATCACGTGCACATATGCCCACTGGATGACATTACATTTCAGTGATTGGTTAAGAACATCATAACCACTTCCTGGTTTGGATAAGAGAAGGCAGATCTGTATTATAGATTTAGGAGTCACTCCAATCAAATACTTGCCTCCGCAGTGCAACTCATCCTCATAAAAGCGTCACAAGCTTTACTAAGTGAGGAATAAGGAATTGTCACTTTTGAGAGTGTCACGTAAAATTATTTGATTACATCAAGAAAAATTTATACAAACGCAATATTTTTATGGTTTTCTTTTTTTTCCCCAGAATTATGTGTTTTTTTCGCTTTAAACCACAGGCCTGCAAATTATATTCCCAAAAGACTTCATATGTTTTTTTTATTTTTTTTTATCATTCTGGTGTCTGTAGGCAACAAAACACACCAAAAAAAACCCCAAAAACAAGCTAACAGCAAACGTTAAACTGGGATTGAGTATTACATCATCTATTAATTAGCTGTGATTCTATGAAATTAATGGGGCATGAACTTTAATGATCCTTAAAAAGTAAAATGCACATTTGTAGAATAGATATTCGTATTGTATCATATATATTTTTTGTTGCATCTTCTGTTAAATAACGCATTTAAAATATAAAATTATGAACAAAATCGGAAGTCAACATTGCCCTTTTAATTACCGGCTATGTGTATTTGAGTTTGTAGCAAATACTTTACTTGTTCATTCATTATGAGCCTGTTTTGCAAATTAAGAGAACTGGGTGTTTCAGGCTTTGTAATGTAATTAACGGTCCTTGTACTCTGTACATTTACTAACGCTATTAACCATTTGTCAACGTCACATACATAATAATGATCAGTTCATAATTCCATCTATAAACCATGCTAGCAAAACACATAGCAAACACATGGATTTGCAGATAATATAATAACAAAAACACCCAGGGGACTTGCATGGAAATTCTGGGAGCATATTCACATCATTCAGAGTCTTCCTCTACGATATGCTGTGATAGCAGAGAGAATGCTGGAGAGAGCACAGGCATGCAGAAAGGTTTGGTGTGTAGTCAGCCTTACTAATGGTTGAGGAGTACTTTTCACATCTTTAAATTTATCTTCAGACCATCTGTATAACATGATATTGATTAAAAGGGATTAGGACACGCGCAACATGACGAAACGGACTAAAGACCTGTTTTTTGACGGCTTCTCTACAAAGGTCCACTTTTTTGGTGGCTCTGACAAAAAAAATAAAAATAAAGCTACATAATGGTATTCACCTGTGTAGCAAATATTCCTTGCCCTAATAACAAGCACTAAAAATTTGTATATCATAGCAACAATGAATTATTAGTTCAATGATATAGATAAGTATCCACACTTCAAAATGCCTTTAGGCAACATAGAGGCACTACAGTGAAATTATCAGTTCAGATGCCCACATTTATAAAATTGTTACTTTACTGAATATTTTTCAAACAAATGCACACGTGCTCAGATGTGTTTATTTTGCTATAAGACAACATTGGAGTTAAAAACAGGAAGTCATAATAAAAATCAGATAACAATTTGTTGTAAATACGTCACCTCCAAAGTTACTGAACTCTGCAATGCTTCTGCAGAAACAAAGCCATAAATGACAAAGCTCTCCTCTTTACTCTAGTTTTCAACCAAGAGGAAGCAGACTCAGGTCACAGGCAAATTCAAAAGAAGAGCAAACATAAACAAGACACAACTAAAGTACTGCATTTTACTATACTAAACTACATTATAGTATCAAAAGGGAAACCATAATTGTGCTTAATCCATGCAAAAGGGTATGTTCCCTATTTAAAAGTACAGTAACTCAATTCATTGCAGTCTTGATCCAAAAATAAGCAAGACAACAAAAAAGGTGTATGTTTCCCCCATCATTTGCAAACCAATAATAATGTCCAAAAGGTATTACAGTGGAGCATTTAAAGAGACACTATAGTCACCAGAGCAGCTTTAGCTTAATTAAGCAGTTTTAGTGTATATATCATGCCACTGCAGTCTCATTGCTCGATTCTCAGCTATGCTTATTAGGAGTTCAAATCACTTTTGTTTCTGTTTATGCAGCCCTAGCCACACCTCCCCTGGCTATGACAGACATACCCTAAATTAAAACAAAATGGTTTCATTTTCAAATCAGATGTAACTTACTTTAAAGTTCAATTTACAGAGCAGGAGATAAAAAACAAACAAACAAAAAAACAACTTTTAAAGGACCATTATAGGCACCCAGACCACTTCAGCTTAATGAAGTGGTCTGGGTGCCGGGTCCAGCTAGGGTTAACCCCCCCTTTTTTTTTTTTTTAAATAAACATAATTTCAGAGAAACTGCTATGTTTATAATAGGGTTAATCCAGCCTCTAGAGCCTCTAGTGGCTGTCTCATTGACAGCCGCTAGAGGCGCTTGCGTGCTTCTCACTGTGAATATCACAGTTTGACAAGAATATCACAGTGAGAAGACGCCAGCGTCCATAGGAAAGCATTGTGAATAGTCAACAAAACAACTTTAGCTTAATGAAGCAGTTTTGGTGTGTAGATCATGCCCCTGCAGTCTCACTGTTTAAGTCTCTGCCATTTATGAGTTAGATCCCTTTGTTTATGTAGCCTAGTCAAACCTTCCTGCATGTGACTTACACAGCCTTCCTAAACTCTTCCTGTAAAGTGTAATCTAATGTGAACACTTCCTTTTTTTGCAAATTCTGTTTAATTCAGAATTTCTTATCTCCTGCTCTATTATTAGCCAACAAGACCCTTCAGGAGCCTCATGTATGTAGTTAAAGCTTAATTTACAGAGCAGGAGATGATAACATTTAAAGTAACATCTGATTTAAAGTGAAACCATTTAGTTTTCATGCAGGCTGTGTCAGTCACAGCCAGAGGAGGTGTGGCTAGGGCTGCATAAACAGAAACAAAAGTGATTTATCTCCTAAACGACAGAATTGAGCAGTGAAACTTCAGGGGCATGATCTATACACTAAACCTGCTTCATTAAGCTAAAATTGTTTTGGTGACTATAGTGTCTCTTTAAAAGGCGCTCTACAGGAAGAACATCAACAACAACAAAAAAAAAAAGATATTGGGTCACTTCTGAATGTCTCACAAGTTTCCCACAGGCATGCAATCATTGGGACAGCTGGATCCAGAGACATCAGCCCCAATACATACAATAGTAACCAAAGAAATGTTACTTGCGCAGTATCCCAAATCGCTATGCACATTTAAATACCTGAAAAATTTTAGCATCACTCCTATGGCCATTTAGGTTTAAACTCACCTGTCATGTCAAGACAAAACTACACAAACAATTCACCTTGCTTCTGTCTACTTCAGGTAAAAAAAAAAAAGAAATAAAAAAAAAGAAAACTCTAATAAGACAGAAAGGGGTATTTTTCTAAACCCAAAACACACTTATTAACCCTTAAAGACCATTGTAGGCATTTTGTCTGCTGAATTCATTAAAATGATTATAGTGTCCGGCGTTCCCTGGTTGTCATTTCATTCAGCTCAATGAAGTGGTCTGGGTGCCAGGTCCATCTAGGATTAACCCTGCCTGCTGTAAACATGTTTACACATGGGTTAATCCAGCCTCTAGTGGATGTCTCATTGACAGCCGCTAGAGGCGCTTCCACGCTTCTCACTATGATTTTCACAGTGAGAAGACGCCAGCGTCCATAGGAAAGCATTGAGAATGCTTTCCTATGGACTGGCTGAATGTACCCGCGGCTCTTGCCGCGCATGCGCATTCAGGCGATGACATCAGAAGAGGGAGAAGAGTCCCCAGCGCCGAGGAAGCCCGGCGCAGGAGAAAGGTAAGAATTTAACCCCTTCCTCCCCCTAGAGCCCAGCAGGAGTGGGGCCCTGAGGGTGAGGGGGACCCAAGGACCCTATAGTGGTCCTTTAATGTTTTTATGTTTTAATGCTAAATGAGAGTCACCAGAAGACCCTCCCTCCTCTGTGCCGCTTTGGCTATGAGGTAGTATTAGCCTGTGCAGCAATGAGAGGATCAGCTGACTGCTTTTAGCCTATCAGAGCTCCAACTGACTATATAAATGGGTTTGACAAGTAAGTGTGTAATCTCTGCCTTAGTCACACCTCCAGAAGGGCCAGACTGTGGGTAGTGTGAGACACTTATTTAGTGTTAGTGTTAAACTGCACCACAGCACAGCAGTGTGTGTGTAGTGTGCGTATAGTGAATGCAGTGTGCATGTATAGTGTGTGTATAAAGTGAATGCAGTGTGTGTATAGTGAATGCAGTGTGTTTGTGTAGTGTGTATAGTGAATGCAGTGTGTGTGTGTGTGTGTGTGTCTTTCTGTAGGTATGTAATTTGGGGGGCATGAGGGAGGCAAAAAAAAAAAAAAAAATGTAAAAAAACAAAACAAAAAAAATTAAAAAAAATTTCTTTAGTCCCCCCCCCTGCTTGTTACCTGGCATGGGAGGGAGGAAGGGAGGGGGAATATGGCATTCCCTGATGGTCCATTGGCATGGACTGTGCAGTCGGGGCCCAGCAAGCTCTTCCTTACCTTCCCAGTAGCTCCCTTCAGCTCCCCTGTCTAAATCCGCAGGACTCGCAAGATTTACACAGGGGAGCTGCTGGGAAGGTAAGGAAGAGCTTGCTGCGGGCCCTCCAGGACCGCCAGGCTTGTAATGGGCCCGGAGGTCCTGGTATGTATTATCGGCAATATCGGTATCTCTGTAGGCAGATAACGATATTGCCGAAAATATCGAATATCGGCCAGACCGATAATCGGTCAATCCCTACTGTGTGATGCAAAAACAAATATGTAAAAATAAGATCTGCGCTAAAACTCACACTACTCATGAGCGGCAGCGATGAGACTCACATCAGACCCAATAACTACAATAGAAAACAAAGAAAAGAGCTACTTGTGTATTATCTCAAATCCGTATGCACATTTAAATACCTGGAGGTTTTTAGTATCACTCCAATGGTCATTTAGATGTAAGCTCACCTGTCATGTCAAGGCAAACCTCTTCTACGCTAACAATTCATTTTGCTTCTTTCAGCTTGAGGTAAAAAAAACAAAAAACAAAAAAAAAAACCTCTAGTTGTTTAAATGCGGATAAGGATTTGGGATAATGCATGAGTAATTCTCTTTGGTTTTTATTCCCAAAGACAACATGTCTATCAATGGCAGTCATCGAGGGGACTTCCAGTATTACAAGTACACGCTGCAAATATAGCATGTACAGTGCTGCACTGGATAGTCCAATAAAGGTGATTAAAAGGATACCCCAGGCTCCAAAACAACTTCATCTTAATTAGGTTGGTATGGTGCTAGAGGGCCCGCAAATGTTCTCTTAGCTCAAGGGGTAGGCCACATTCGAGAGCGGTTTAACCCCTAAGTTGCCTCCAGCAGCGATGTCCACTTTCCTCACAGGTGGCACCCTGCTAAGCAATTTCAGATTCAGGAAGCGCGGAGTGCTGCAGGGCAGGGGAGCAACCAAATTGTCTGAGAGTGGTTAGCCGATGCTCTCAGCCAATCAGTGACTCGCAATTCACAAAACTGGCTTGAGAAATTTACAATTCTTTCCGAGTCAGTTGTATAAATGGGGAGTCACTGATTGGCTAAGAGTGTCAGCTAACCGCTCTATGCCAATCAGCAGCACTCCCTGCTTTCTGAATCGGAAAGTGCTGAAGCCAGATGCCGCCTTGAGGGGAGGAGTGGACATTGCCGCTGGAGGAAACTTAGGAGTTAAATTGTTTGAGAACGGTTTAACCTCTTAAGGTAAGAGTGCCTCTGCAAGCCTCCTGGAACCATAACTTAATTTAGATAAAGTTTTTGGGTGCCTGGAGAGTTCCTTTAAATGGGCCCCAGGCTGCCTGGTTGTCCTAGGAGCCAAAGCACAGTGAAGAAAATCATTTACAGTCACCTAAGGTTTGTCAAAACTTTGACAGGCTTTCACATTAAATAAGACTAAATGCATTAGAGTTGGATAAAGCTAGAAATAACAGCTGGTCAGTATGATGACACAGTTCATTTTACTTCACCAAATAGTGTCTCTGGGAAGCATGCAAAGAGGCATGTCACAAATTTGACTCTAAGTGCCTAAAAGTCTGGCAAAAGTATAGTGAAGTATTGTTGTGTTCAGGAGATGCATCATAAACACCAAAAGGTCCATGAAATAGTACAACACACAAAGCCTGTGAAAGGCCCACATTAAACTCTAAAATGTATGGGGAATAAAGTTTACAGCCATATATGGCAGAAATTGTTGAAATTACAGTAGGAAAAAAAAAAAAAAAAAAGAGACTCAAAATGCCCCATGTTATTAAAAGCTCAAGTTGCCATCTTCTGCAAATGTAAACCATGATGGGAGAAAAATGCAGTTGGGGTGGGGGTGGGGGGTCAAGAGTCCTGCAAGTGACATAATAAAGCAATTAGGGAAATTTGAAAACTGAAATTCTCATGCCTATATATTTTATTTATGCAAAATGACCCATAGCAAGATGGACAATCAGGCATCATCAGCATTTGTTTTCCACCATAATAGTATATCCACTCACGACTAGCCTTTGGCAAGTGAAAATTTAGTCCTGGTAAGTAAGCTAGGACATGCAGTGGCAAATACAATGTAACAGTTTAAGAGTAAAATAGTAATTAAGTGAAATGTCACCAACTCATCCCCTGGCATTCTCACAGAAAGAACATGTTCCTTAGTTCAAGAGTTCACATTACAAAAAACACTTGCTTGGAAAAAATAATACTCAATGAATTCCATACTTACTTGAGTCACACATTACACAAACCATGACTCACATATGGCCTACACAATCTCTTGCTGAATCACACAACAGGGCTACTTTACAAGACAGAAATTTCACATAAGAAATAAAAATGAAAAAAATATGACATTTCTCAACAAAGGGAAATGTTACTGAGCTGCTCGTGTTTTTTTCAAAACTATAACAACAAATAAGATATAGCAATTCGATTTCAATATAATTCCTACATACATTGTCTGCTTTCAATTCTAACATAGGGTATTGTGCAATCATCTTTAAATAGATGCATAATAATCGTTTAAAACCTACTTCATTTCCTGGTTTGCTACCAGGTTGTGCATTTACCATAGATGAATATGAAAAGTTTTAAGCATGTGGAATTATAAAATGTATGACTTGTCGCACATGAAATTAAACATACACTGTGCAAATAGCCTGCCAAATCAGGTGTCAAAACTGCTGATGCAAAATAAACTAAGGGAGCGAAATAAAAGTCAACAGGCTGCAAGGTTAAGGACTTGTGTAATGAAGGCCCTGTACTTCCAAGCTACAAACACTCCTGCAGTAAGCAATCCAAACCCTTACATATTGTCTGACACATCTCTTGCCCAACTCCACTGCTGCCTAATGAGGTCATTTTACCATACATTCTACTCCTACACAGTTGTAATCTGCAGTTCTCCAATGTAGCTACCAAAACTATCAAACGTTCTCATGTGATCACCATAAATTGTGACTGCTAAAACGTTTTGTAATTTTCTTTTCCTTCAACATGATTATTACTCTGCCATAAGGAAAGAAAAATCATCTTGGATCCACTCTTGCTTGTAATCCATCCAGTAAGTGAGGATTTTGCCTGTCTACTTGTAACTCCATACCACTGTATATATAAAAAAAAAATGCCATTTTGTAATGAACTCACCTTCTCCAGACAGTAAGAAAATATGCCATCAGGCTTGTTTTAAGAGAGGATGGGACGCCCACACACACAAAAAAAATTATGTTTTGTTTTTTTAAATACAGGTAATTGTTCCTCTTTCAGTAGAATCAAGCAATGCATTTTCAGGATGATAGATAAATATGAAAAAAAAAAAAAAAAGGGAGGGGGAGTGCATGATTGGGATTGGAAGAAGAGGATGGTTGTGTACAGGGAGGGGTACAGAGCAGTTTGCAGTGCTGGCACATAGCACATCATATGATTCAGCCACAGGATGGTGTGTTTGCTCTAAGGAGAAGAAGTGCTTAGCTGGGCAGGCAATAGACAGCAGGCTGAGAAAGGTCACAGCGACATCCATCTCAGTACAGACAGTGGGCCATACACAGCACACCCTCTCTCCCCCCCCTCCTTCCACCCCAGGCAATCCACCCCCCCTCCCCAGAGCTCTCTCTATAATACACCCTTGTCCTTACCCCTTCTGCTTTTCGGTGAGCTCTTCTTGCTCCGGTTGCTGGCAGCTCTCTCCTCCTCAATAGCAGCTGCTATCTCTGGGTTGTCTTCCCCATTGTACCAGACTAAGAGCTCCTCTCCTGGCTCAATTGGCTGGAAGAATTAGAGACACAAATATAACACCAATCAGAGGTGACGTTGTTAGTACATTGCACACACACACACACAAAAACCCTGAGAGCTAAGGCAGAGAGAGAGGAGCAGGCTCAGGGCCAGAGGGCGTGGAGCTAGCTATGGGGATTATAAACAGCTGTACTCTGCTCTAGCAACATATTTCCTAACTGACTGACTAACCAAACAGGAAGAGCACTTTAACTCTTAGATCAGCAGTCAGACTGCAGGCAAAGGGACAGGGAGGAGGAGGGAGGAGGAGGAGGGAGGGGAGCTTAAGATGTCTGAGCATAAAGGTTTGCAACACTGCCCTCCGCTGGACGGAGGCCGGCAGTGCTAAACGGGCTCACAGAGAGGAAGAGCTGCACAGACAGGTTAGGGGGATGTTATGAGACAGTTGTGACCTTCAATCCTTAACGCATGTATGTAGCTTGGTTACATCAGGCAACACTAATATGTATTGCTAAAATTACTTGGCTCTCTTCTTTTAGCTTAAAAAAAAAATATATAGAAATAAAAAGATTTAGTTCACCTTAAATGACTCTTAAATTAATGGCAACTCACAGGGGTTTGACAAACACCAAACTATAGTAAACTCAAAATTTACCAATGTCAGGAATCCAAGGTGACTTCAAAGTGAATTTCAAGTTTTACTAAGAATTGGAATACAATGCTTCATAAATGGTCTTATTAATTTGGCTATTTTCTCCTGAAATTTTGAATTCCTGAGAATTAACACTTTAGGGGTTTAATGAAATAAAAAAATATAAATAAATAAAAGCATTTAGACTAACATAGCTGACATGAAAAATTGTTCCAGCTCTGTTATAGTCACAGGCTGACTATTTTAGCCTGAATTATGTTATTCGAATTAGCTACTATTGGTGAATAAACCATCACATTTAAATATTTAGGCAAACTGGGACTCCTGCTGGGCTGCAGATTGTATGAGAAACTTTTGCCAGACAGTTTTCAGTTCAAGATAATTCTGTATTTAGAGAGCATAAACTCCTGCAGAGTTATTCACTAAATTGTGAATTGTCCTGAATTAACATTGAAGTTGCACAATAGTGTACCTAGGAACCTAGGAGACTTTGACAATTTCTCCAGTTCAGCTACTTTGGCCTAAAATTTGCACTTGATGAATTCTCAACAAAACACAGTTGAGTGGTAACCTTGTCATTTACTTTGATTTGTCTTGATTATAAGTTGTTCTGTGATGTGCTTCAAACATTCTAAAACCTTTTGATGTAGGACTGGCTAAAAGATCTATTCCCAGCCACTGTAAGACAAACATATTTTGTCAGCCTTAACATCGCTTCCCAAGTAGCATAACCACAACAGCTCAATTTAGTTGCCAATAACAGCTACAATTGCTTTGTGCTCCTTTACTTTTAAGGCTGTAAATGCATCATGGGAGTTGCACAACAGATGAAGATTTTCCTTCCAACCATTCCTGTATTTAAAAGTTAGTCTAAACACTGTAAGCACTTTGCATTACTGTAATGTGTACAGTACCTAGTGCACCCCCGAGTCCACACTTGTTGAGTGGCTTATAGTGCAGCAATTTTTCCAAACATCCTCTGCTGAATCAAAAATTATAGAGTAAGATCAGTCCCCACAGACCAGAGTGAGATGCTTATGACTGGAGCATCTCATCCTATTGTAGGTCTACCTGCAGCGGCAAGAATGTCCATGTACCAGGGGGCCACTTTAAAAGAGTATGCAATTTATTTGTTTTTATTTAGCCAATTTTAAAAAAGAAAGTAAATGGTTAGATTTGTTACCATAGAAACATATACAGTAATGTGATGGCAGATAAGACCCATTCTACCTATCTAGTCTGCCCAATTTTCTAAATACGTTTCATTAATGTTTTATATCTAGGATAGCCTTTATGCCAATCCCATGCATGCTTAAAGGGACACTGTTGGCACCCAGACAACTTCAGCTAATTGAAGTAGTCTGGGTGATGTGACCCTTTTGCACTAAGTGCTGCAATGTATACATTGCAGCTCTAAGTCTGCCCTCTGTGGAGGTCTACCAGACAGCCACTAGAGAGCTTCCAATCCAAACAAACTTTTGGTCCGTTATCTGACGCTGGACATAGTCATAGACCTCCAGCATCAGATTTTCCCTATAGGAAAGCACTGAATAATGCTTTCCTATGGGGAGGTCTAATGCGTGTGCGGCCATTGCCGCGCATGCGCATTAGGTATCCCCCGACGGCTAACGTCAGAAAGGGAGGAGCGTGGATGTCCTCTTGTTGTTGTAGTTTTACTTTTAAAAATAGTCTCCTCCTTTACTGTTTTGATTCCCTTTATGTATTTAAATGTTTCTATCATATCACCTCTGTCTCGTCTTGCCTCCAAGCTATACATGTTAAGATCCTTTAACCTTTCCTGGTAAGTTTTACCCTGCAGTCCATGAACCAGTTTACTAGTCCTTCTATAAACTCTCCCCAAAGTATCAATATCCTTCTGAAGATACGGTCTCCAGTACTGCGTACAATACTCCAAATGAGGTCTCACCAGCGCTCTGTACAATGGCATGAGCACTTCCCTCTTCCTACTGCTAATACAAAGAGGGAAGGGCTCATTATTATTATGATATTTATAGAGCGCGTCAAATTCCGCAGCGCTTTACAATGGGTGGACGAACAGACATGTAGTTGTAACCAGACAAGTTGGACACACAGGGACAGAGTGGTTGAGGGCCCTGCTCAATGAGCTTACATGCTAGAGGGAGTGGGGTAAAATGACCCAAAAGGTAAGGATAGTATTAGACTAGTGACAGTTGCAGAAGAGGAATCAGTCGGGAGCTATTAACAGTTTAATTGATACGCTTTAATGAAGAAGTGCGTTTTTGATGATTTTTTGAGGGAGTGGAGACTGGGTGAGCATCTAACGGAGGAGGGAAGTGAGTTCCACAGGAACGGTGCAGCCCTTGAGAAATCTTGAAGGCGAGCATTAGAGGTGGGAGTACGGACTGAAGATAGACGTAAGTCTTCAGCAGATCGTAAGGGCCTAGACGGGACATACTTGTGTATAAGGGAGGATAGATAGGTGGGAGCAGCATTATGTAGAGATTTGAAAGCAAGAACCAGAATTTTAAATTGAGCTCTATATTTTATGGGAAGCCAATGTAGGGACTGACAGAAGGGTGAGGCATGGGAGGTGCGGGCGGACAGGAAGATGAGCCTCGCCGCCGCATTCATTATGGACTGTAACGACGCAAATTGGGAGCACGTAAGTCCACTGAGAAGCGGATTACAGTAGTCACCATTGCACAGACCACACCTAACCTTCCATTCTTTAGCACTTTTTACATTTGAAACTTGTAAGAGCACGGTCCACCTTGCCTTTTGTTTTACTCACCACAAATTGTTTATCATTATATAATTGTTTAATCAGTTTGTTTACCCATTGTGCAGTGCACACTCTGCAGTACAATGTATATATTGTCTCTTTAATTAATAATGAAGGACAAATGGTTTATCGTGTGGTCAGCACAATCTGGTCCCTAAAGACCATGTAGAAGCATGCTTATTTAGCGTTTGCAATTCTATACTGCCTGTTATCACTAAACGGTTTGGAGATTTCATTTTGTTATAGGATAATTATTGACAAGATTGTTGTGATAGAATTATACAAACATTGATCCTGTTAAATGTTCCCGGTCAACTATTGGGTAGGGAAAACAACATTTTTATTTTTTTAGCAATATCAGTTTGCAAAACATATCTTCTATGCCTTATTTACCAGTCTGTCTCTGTTAGCCAATTTGTTTGTCTTTGAATACCAGCTAGATTGTTTCCATGTGCCAGGGGCAGGCTAGAATTTTCACTCCAGCTTCAATGTTACAACTCTGGCCATGTGTCTGTATGTATGTATTTCAGTATGTATGTATGTATGTCAGTCAATGTGTGTATGTATTTGTGTGTGTGTGTATGTATGTGTGTCTGTATTTCAGTATATGTTTTTATGAATGTGTATGTCTGTCAGTGTGTGTGTGTGTGTGTATGTCCTTATGCGTGTTTGTGTCTGTATGTATGTTAGTATATGTCTGTATCTGTTTCAATATGTATAGGAATTCGTTCAAATTTCTTTCAAAACTATAGTCTGGCCCAAAACAGTGTCTGAGGGACAGTGAACTGGCCCCCTGTTTAAAAAGTTTGAGGACCCCTGCTATAAAGGCTGAATTATAGTAGTGATATAGTCCATTACTATTATCATGCCAGAGAGACTGCCTATCCAAGAGATACACTCTTCTATGGTTGAAAGCAAAAAAAAAAAAAAATGACCTTGTGGAATGAATCTTACTAGCTATTAATATGCAACAGAAAAAATAACAGCAGTCAGTAATTGGCATCCTAAATTCATTCACTATAGCAGATCAAGAGTTACATGTTGTGAAGTAGATGGGAACATATTAAAATGTGTGCATGCTCTGTTCTGTGTACTAGATAAGGTATCTGTTACAAATTAATTACTACTAGGCAGTTAAAATCATAGTATTTTTAATAAGTAAAACTGTACTTTGCCCCACACGTTGAGATAGTTATGGTAAAAGATTAACTGGGCATTTTTTCCTGTTTAATCATATGCTTATTAACCATAAACACCTTTTAAAAGGAACAACAGTTGACCATAATGATAACAATGTGAGGACACAATGTAAGGCAATTACTGGACCTTAGCAAAATTTAAAGGTGCACTCCATGCCCAAGGCAGTACTGAATTAATTGCTTCAAGGGCCTAGAGCTGATAATTACTGAAGACCTAATTAAGAAATAAAAATCTGCAATTCTGGCATCTTGCTTTTCGAAGATGAGTCTGAACTCTGGATGGAATTATAGCTGGCAGCCATATATTGAAAAATATCCATGTGTGCATATATAAACTGGAAATTTCAAACATTTAAAATCCAATTTCACAAGCACATGCCTCTCAACTGTCCTGAATCTGAAGACAGTCACAAAATGTGGTTCCTGTTACGCCGTCCCGACGTGTACATTTGTGTAATATTTTCGGATAATTATGTGATTTTTATTTAGTTATAAATTGTGGAACCTGCCTGACAACCCAGGCAGAAAGTACAGAGAATGACATTTGCCATCTCCAGGGCCGTCTATAATATGATTAGGACCCTGGGCAATGCATTTTCTTGGGCCCCATGGGCCCTGTCCCTGCCACTGCCTCACCCCCCAATTACGTCCAACCCGCAATCACACTGACAGACGTACTGGCACATACACACACAGACAGACATTAAAACATTCACAGATACATACTGACATACACAGTCACTACACACAAATATATACTGGCAGATATACTGACACACACACAGACATACATACATACATACACAGACACATACATTAACAGATATACTGACACACACACAAACACATACACTGACAGATATACTAAAACACACAGACACATACACTGACAGACACATTGACACACACACACAGGCATACTGACATACACACACACACACGGCATACTGACATATACACAGACAGACGTAATGGCTGATACAGACAGACATTAAAACATTCACAGATATATACTGACACACACATACACTGACATCCAAATATATCCTGGCAGACATACTGACACACACAGACATACATACATACACACACAGACACATACACTGACAGACATACTGACTGACACACACATACACACACAGACATACTTACATACACACACAGACATACTTACATACACACACAGACATACTGACACACACATACAGACATACTGACATACACACAGACAGACGTACTGGCACATACACACAGACAGACATTAAAACATTCACAGATACATACTGACACACACATACACTGACACACAAATATATCCTGGCAGACATACTGACACACACACACACACAGAGACATACCTACATACACACACACAGACATACTGACACACACACACACACACAGACATACTGACACATACACACAGACATACACACAGACACAGACATACTGACACACACACACACATACATACTGACACATACACAGACGGACATACTGACACACCCACACAGACATACTGACACACACACACAGACAGACATACTGACACACACACACACAGACACATACACAGACAGACATACTGACACACACACACACACATACTGACACATACACACACATAGACATACTGACACACATACACACACACAGAGACCTACTGACATACATTTAGCCACCCTCCAGGTTCTTACCTTTTCCTGGAGGGTGGTTTCCCTGGTCCAGTGGCAGGCTGAGGCAGATGGGAGTTCTCCTCTGGAACTCCCCTCCTCCCTGCCTTCCTCCTCCCGCGCGGCTATCTCCGGTGGGAGGAAGTGACGTCACTTCCTCCCAGCCGGCTGCAGAACCGGAAGAGGGGCCCGGTCGCGCTGTTTAAGCGCCACAGCGCCCGACCGGGCCCCTGCTGACACATGCTCCCCGGGTGGCCCTTAGTGCATGGGCCACCCGGGGAGCCTCCTCAGTGTGCGGGAGCCGCACCGCCCGGCCCATAGGGGCTGCGCAAATCGCGGGGCCCACAGAGCAGCTGCTCTGGGCCCCCCAGGAGCAACTGGGCCCGGGGCAGCTGCCCCGTTTGCCCCGCGTTAAAGACGGCCCTGGCCATCTCTATATTCGACCCTGTAACTTTCCAAAACCCAATAAAACCCTCTACATGGCGGGTACTTTTATACTTCTAAGACACAAATATGTGTAAAGGTAACATTATTATGACATTCACAGTTAAAATGCCACGCAGAGTTTATAACATTAAATTTGTCACACATTTTTAGATTTTTAAATAGTTTTAATTATGATTCATATATAAATATTTGATGTGAAATAAATGCCCGGTTTCTCCTGAAGAAACTGATCTATAGTAAGTGTTGGTGCACTTAATAAAAATTAGGTAAATTATTGTTAAACAGACATATACCGGTAGCTCATGTTGCCTCTGTCCTTAAGGGGGTTGAACTAAAATAACTGTGTTTAGATATAAGTGTGTAAATAAGATTACATTGTAAATAACATCACACAAATGGAGGCAATGTAAGACAATATTCTATGCATCAGCTGGTAAACCACTTGCTGCATTAATATCCAAATGGTATGATGTTTTTTAAGATTATCCTCATCGTACAGGACACTGGCTAAACCTAGAGGTGCCGACTACACAATTCTGGGACAAACAATTGTCTGGCACAGTAAGGCTCTTGGGACAGAATGCACTCATGTACTACTAAATATTATATTTAGGGGTCTAAGAATGTGTAGAGCATAGATGTCAAACTCGCGGCCCACACCGAATGTTTGCGGGCTGCGAGGGAGCGCTGAGTGTGATCTCTCCCTGCACAGTACCTGCAGTGATGCCGGGAGCCGGAATATGACGTCACTCCGGCTCCCGCAATCACTGCGGCGCGCGTGCGAGCTGAGCTGAGAGAGCTCAAAATCAATGCTCCCTTGCTGCCTGTCCGCCCCCCTGCCTGCCTGAATGTACTCCTGCCCAGTAACCTCACTAGACACAAGGTAAGAAATGTATCCAGCTCTCCCAAAGGTAGGGAGGCTGGGTGGATTTAAATTAAAATAATAATAATAAATACAAAAAAATAAGTGGTGTGTGTGTCAGTTTGTGTGTGTCTGTGAGTGCATGTGTGTGTTGGAGTGATTCTGTGTGTATGTCAGTGTGTGTATGTCTGTCAGTGAGAGTGAATGAGTGAGAACAGGGGCAGGGGTTTAGTAGACTAAGGGGGGACTGGGATTTAGTATACGAAAGGGGGACTGGGATTTAGTATACGAAAGGGGGACTGGGATTTAGTATACGAAAGGGGGACTGGGATTTAGTATACGAAAGGGGGACTGGGATTTAGTATACGAAAGGGGGACTGGGGTTTAGTAGACGAAAGGGGGTCACTTTTTTTTTTTTCTTAATACGGTTCTTTTCAAAATAAACCTACGTTTCTATGAACATTTACATTTATTTATTTTTGTGGCCTACATAAACCTTGTTTATTTGGTCCTTGCTAGCCTTTGAGTTTGATGCTTGACTTAGAGCATCATCTAAATAAAGTTTGTGGTATCAGCAAAGATTGTTGCATACAGCACAACTGTGAAGTGTATCAGACTTTTGTTAGACATAAAACCATTTCCCTTGATGGAGGCAGCTGTGCGCAGGTATCAGAATAGAAGAGGTGTAAACCAGGGACAACTTATATATATATATGAATAATGCAAATTTTTCATTAACACCACCTTCTCTATACTAGTTTGTCTAGCATGCAAATCTGCATGATAGGCTATCACTGGTATTGGATCTTGCGTGGATACTAAAACTGTGCACCAGAACAGGTAGGTCTCCGGCGCTTTATCTCACCTAACACAGTACACCTGCACCTATGGCCAGCTATGTATATGGAGATAGCCCAGAGATGTAGTTAAAGAGCAATCCATGAGCTAGCTGCTTGTAACAAGTAAATAAGTTATGTCAAAAGTGATATTTTACACAGAAATATATTTATGATGGTCATCTTGAAAAGGGAAAACAGCAGGTGGAGAGTATGGCAAAGTATTGGGTGGGAGAGCACGCTCTAGTAGGGGAGGGTGTACAAATCACTATTTCAGACGTTATGTCTGCAGGTGCTGATATTACACTCAGCTGCCTGAAGGCTTTGTTTATCTATTATTCTTCCTGTTCTATTTTCTGCAGTGTATAGTTTTACATGCAGATTTTTTTTGTACTTTTTTTTTTTTTTCTTATGCAAAACATTGACAACTGCCATCTGCATATGAAGTTATCTTATCTTAAAATGCGAACTGTCCCTTCCAGAGAAATTACAGTCCGTTGTTCATTCACTATTTTGTTGTTAATTGGTGTGATTAAGGTAGTGAAGGTAAGTATATTAAAAAAAACAACGTACCTTCGCTGTTCTTCCTAGTTGCAGCAAACTCTCAGTCCCACAATGCCTCGGACATGCATGTCTGCATATACAGAGAAATGCTGTATACGAGGCAAGTAAGCTTTCACGTTTCTCCAGAAATGGATTATACGTACATGCGCCATGCATGTGGCACTGTAAGTGTTATTTAAAAGTCATACTTTGCCTAGTTTGCTCAGCAAAACATGCAGATTAACGGAAACTAGAAAGTATTTTAAAAAGTAGCACATCAATAGTTAACTTTTATTTAAATAATATGTTGGTCTAAATTTAAGGAAGAGTCCGTTCCTCTTTAAAGGGACTTTTCAAACTGGAGTACATACATCGCAGTTTAATACATTATATGTACAAACATTAAGTTAAACAAAAAGATACCCTTGGTGCTGCGAAACACTCGGGCTTGAAGCATCATACAGTGAGCTATGTTCCCTACTAGGCATGGGAACACCTGCCATCCAGGTGAGCTGAACATTGCTCATAGCTCCCTAACAGCAGAGAGGTTTATTGGGTGTATTCTCTAAACACTTGGAGGCAGTTCCATTCATTAGATAAGATGAATGTCATGCAAAAGTTGATAGCAGCCATGGTGCAGCTTTCTGAATTAAAAAATAAATAAAAAAAAATTCCCCCTATTTTCTGAATGGAGCCATAGATGCACCACTCCAGTTCCTTCACAGAATGTTGTGTAGAACACTGTTGTAGGAGGCGAGTACGTATGCCGAAGAGGCACACTTTACAAGTACGATGTGGTGGTGGAAGGTGAACATCTGCGAGCAAGTAGGTGGAGTTATAGCAGTCGTTAGTTTTGCACAACTTCTGCAGTTTTAAGTAATTGCGTGCAGGTACACAGTGAGAAGAAACCCCCTTCCACCATACTCTATGTAAGGGGCACAAGCTATTGTAATGCTTAGAGTGTGCATTTTAAATTGCACAAATGCATGAAGTGCTACATCAGAGCAGATCCATTCTTGTAAATACAGATAACGAAATATTTTCAGCCTTTTGTTTCCAATGCACCAAACATTCACAATCATTCATAGACCACTCAATTTGAGATGTTGCTTCATGCTAGTACATTAAAAAAAAGTGTGACAAAATATTTCTGAATTACATAAAGTCACAATGACAAAACACTTTTAAACACTGTCTCCAGTTTACATTGGAATGTTACCATGAACAGGAAAGTCACATGTAAGACATTTTACAAGAAACCTTCAGATTTAAAATCCTGTTCAGACAATTTTTATAGCACACAGACAAGGAAAAGGGGTACGTATTCAATTTTGTAAATAACCTTGATTGAATAACATTTACAGGGTTCTTTACTTGAAGTTATTAACTAAAGTTAGAATTGTTGGGAATTCAAAGTGAATTCCAAACCCAAAGTAGCAGAACTGAATCATACTGGCAGAATTTTTCCACTTTGGCTATACTGGTGTTAAATTGAAATTCACTTTGATTTCAATTGGAGTTCCTCACAATTCTCACTTTAGTGAATAACCTGGACTAAAGTGAACATTATTTGGAAACCAAAGTGAATTTTAAATTGAAGAACTAAATAGGCAAACTGGAAGCATCAATGACTTGGAAATGTTTTCCAATTCTGCTGTTTTGGCCTTGAACTTGAAATTCACTTTGTATTCCTGACATTTCCCACTTTAGTAAATAACCCTGTTAGTAATCGTTTACACATACCCTCCTGACTGACCTCTACAGCACTACAGAGTTTGCTGGCGCTATATCAATAATAAAATAATAGTCAGGACTACTTGATTTACACTATGAATTGTGACTTAACACAAATTTGAAGATATTAAGCAACAATCAATAGCCAATATGGTAATACAGCAATACTTAAAGGACCACTCTAGGCACCCAGACCACTTCAGCTTAATGAAGTGGTCTTGGTGCCTGGTCCAGCTAGGGTTAACCCATTTTTTCATAAACATAGCAGTTTCAGAGAAACTGCTATGTTTATGAATGGGTTAAGCCTTCCCCTATTTCCTCTAGTAGCTGTCTCATTGACAGCCACTAGAGGCGCTTGCGTGCTTCTCACTGTGATTTTCACAGTGAGAGCACGCCAGCGTCCATAGGAAAGCATTATGAATGCTTTCCTATGTGACCGGCTGAATGCGCGCGCAGCTCTTGCCGCGCGTGCGCATTCAGCCGACGGGGAGGAGAAGAGGAGGAGAGCTCCCCGCCCAGTGCTGGAAAAAGGTAAGTTTTTACCCCTTTCCCCCTTCCAGAGCCGGGCGGGAGGGGGACCCTGAGGGTGGGGGCACCCTCAGGGCACTATAGTGGTCCTTTAAGAATTCAAGCCTACATTTTACATATTTTCAATTAACCACAACAGACTATTTAGTGAATAATCCTCAATAATAACGTATGGTTATGATTGGCAATTATATAGCACCAACAGTTTCCACAGTGCTTTAGCATTACAATTATAGAATGGGGATATTTGACAATGAGTAATTGACAAACCAAAAAATTGACAGAGATAAGAGGTAAACAGGCCCTGCTCAAAAGAGTTTCAATCGAATACTATCCGGTTATAATTTACAGTAAAGTAGCACTGGAATCAGATAATCACCATTATCTGACACGACTAACACAGGCTGATGCTAGTGATTGAGTCCTTTGATAGTACAGCGACTGAGTGATGCATCACAGCAAACAGCCCACAACAGCTGCACTGACAGCAGTTAGTCATCCCTGCCACATGCTAGTAATCTCTATATGCACACTGTAGAGTTAAAGGGACCCTCCAGACCCATAAAGCCCTTTAGCTTGCTGAAAAATTTATGTGTGAAGAGTGTGTTTTGTTTTTTTCATTTTACAAAAAGTGCAGAGTTTAGTGGAAATTGGCACTTTATAATTTAAACTTTTTACACTCCCCGGCTGTCAATCATGCAACTGGTCCGGTTACTTCCTGGTTCTTTAGCTCAGTGGAGATAAACTCAAGAGGCAGCACTTGTCCAGAGCACATACCTTGCAAAGACTTCTCATTGAGCTACATTGGGAAGTTTGTGATTGGACAGACACAGTAGGTCTGTAATCAAGAAGATGATAAGGGCTTTCAAATGCAGCAAACAGCACAGCTGCAGCTTTTGGCAAACTGTTTTTAGATATACCCCCAATGAAAAATATATGCAAAATTAAACGCATGCATGTTTTCATTAAGAGGTATATCTACTAAGCAGTAATTTATTTGTATTTGGGTAGTGGAGTGTCCCTTTAAATGTGTGGACATATTTTTTCCTGTTGCTGTGACTTTAAAAGGCCAAATAAAATAGTACATTCATAAGCTCTGAATTTGTACCAGATTTACAAAAAGCTACTTACTAAAGTCAATAAATGTGCAAATATTGCAATTTAACCCAGACTAGCAAATTCAAGGCAATTAAGTTTTCTTAAAAGGAACCTATAGTTCCCAAAAATATTACTCTATAAGTTCCCTTCCATTAGAGTGTCATGCCAGACTCGTATTAAGATTTGAATTAAATATTCATAGCTCAGTGCTAATGCATCATCAGTAGAATTTGTTCAACCCTTGGGTCGCAGATTCAAATCCCGGCAGGGCTGACTCCGCCCTTCATCCTTCCGAGGTAGATAAATGAGTACCATTAAATTGGGTAATAGTAACAACCCCTGGATGTTGGGCTAAGGTAACATCCCCAGGATGTACTTGAAAACCAGAGTAATCTGAATGTACCCTTTCCTGGTTAAATACTTTATCATTATTGTGACAAACTGAACCTCGTCACGGGTGCTTGCAGGGATCTGCTGGCCAGCCTCTTGCTAAAAGACTACGAGCCAAGTCAACGACTGTAAAGACCCTGGTTCGGCACTTTCAATAGAACCGACCGCCGTTGGCAGCCGTTCGCATGGACCAAAACCGCAAATAGGGGGACTTAGCTACGAATGCCCTGGAACTATTTTCGGCATGAAGACTTTGCGGTTCCTGGTCGGTTGCCAGCGGCACTTAATCGCGATTCTATGGAACCGTTTTGGGCATGCATGCGGTTGGTAAATTCCAGGAAATTCCGGGACCCCTGAACTGATCTGGGTGCTTTTTGGATATGTTGGTCACCCAGGTCAGGGCTATTAGGGGATGTATTTTGTGGGGATTATATGTGTTTTAAGGTATTTTGGGGGGGGGGAGGGGTTGTATAAATGTGTGTTTTTTGTATTTGGAGATAATGGCGTTTTAATATAGTGCTTGACTTAATTATCTCCTAATTAAACGGGAAGGCTTACTGTATTGTATATGGAAGTGTCATGCATTGTAACACTGGCATTATCGGTCTGTGACTTTGTAATGGAGTTCCCCACAAGGTCCATGTGGGAGTGCCCCTCGCATGGGGATTGTCATAAAACGTCAAGTGTGGCACCATTAAAATCAGTTCCTTTTCACCCTCAACATAGCGCCTCGTCTCCTGTGGAGGGAACAGCTATATTCACTCTGCGGATTGCTATACTCATTATACTCCCCTGGGTTCTAATCACTAGCTCTTATAAGAGCTGTTCCTGCTGTATTCTCTGGAGTAGGAAAGGTTCCCCTACTGGAAGCTGGATCCTGGTCTTGGGTCCAAGGTGGGTGGAGGACAGCGAGACCCCAACCAAGCTGCAGCGGTTCATGGGGTCTACGGTGCTTATGGTGTCTGGTGGAGTGCCTGGAGTCCTCGTGAGCACTAGGAGCATCGATTGACGGAGGCACCCGGTTGGGGTGCCAGGCGGCAGTGGCGGACTAAGTGGGGGACGGAGAGGTGGGCGGAGGGGGCGGTCCGTCCCGGGTGCCACCTGGTGGGAGGTTGCCATGACCCTGGTCTGAGGGCTAATAGGGGACGTGTGAGCTGTGCCCCAAGGCAGCTGGGGTGTCACACAGCTCACATGGAGACCAGCAAGCTTAACTGGCCGCACGGGAGGAAGGGGCGGAGCTACATGCATTTAGGGGTGGAGCCTAGGCAGGGCAGGGCTTAACACAGCCCTTACAAGCTGCTGTTAATGCAGAAGAAATCCCTGCACCTCCACCTACCAGGCTCCAGGGAAGGACTTCAGGCCAGGGAATCCACTCCTCCAGCCCACACTGTCCGTAAGTAAGAGTTGTGTGTCTGTGTGTGTCACTGTCTGCCTGACCCTGTAACTGTGTGTGTCTGTGTGTGTGACTGTCTGCCTGTAAATATGTGTGTGTGACTGTCTGCAACTGTGTGACTGTCTGTCTTGTGTGTGTGTGTGTCTGTGTAACTGTGTATGTGTGTGTAACTGTCTGCCTGTAATGGTCTGCCTGTAACTGTGTGTGTGTGCGTAATTGTCTACCTGTAACTGTGTGTGTGTATGTAACGGTCTGCGTGTAACTGTGTGTGTGTGTGTGTGTGGCTGTAACTACGTATATGACTGTCTGCAACAGTGTGCGTGACTGTGTGTAACTGACCTTGTGTGTGTGTGTGTAACTGACCTTGTGTGTGTGTGTAACTGACCTTGTGTGTGTAACTGACCTTGTGTGTGTGTGTGTATAACTGTCTGCCTGTAAATATGTGTTTGTGTGTGTGTGTAACTGTCTGCCTGTAACTGTGTGTACGTGTGTGTAACTGTCTGCCTGTAACAGTGCGTGTGTGTGCGTAACTGTCTGCCTGTAACAGTGCGTGTGTGTGCGTAACTGTCTACCTGTAACTGTGTGTATGACTGCCTGTGACTATATGTGTGACTGTGTGCGTGTGACTGTCTGCTTGTACCTGTCTGTCTGTAACTGTGTGTGAGGGAGTGCAGGAATTTTGTAGAAGGGGACAGGGGTTTGAAAAAGTTTACAAATTTGTTCAATACATTTTTTTAAAAAATGTTAAAAAAAATAACATTTTAAAAATGTAGGTTTTTTTTTTATTGAAGGGGGGGGATTTCAGAGGGGGGGGGAGGGTGCCAAACCCAGGACCCGCCCATGGTGCCACATGCTCTAGGTACGCCCCTGCCAGGCGGTCCGTCACAATTATTATTTTTTTTCAGCTCCAAGACACCACAGATGCAGCCACCCTTTTTGCCTCATTCTTTGTCAGCAAGCATGATAATGTCTTCCACGTTCTCATCCTCTCCAATGCTACTCAAAGAGAAGCCTTGAGGACAAGAAGTGTATGCAGGGCCGGCGTCCATAAGGCAGCACAGGTGGCCGCCTTAGGGCGCATCGGCACTGGGGGCGCAAGATTTCAGTGACCGGCAGGAGGGAAACTCTCCCTACTGCCAGGCCACCTTCTGGACCCCCCAGCCCGCAAGGGAGCAGAGCAGGGAGAATAGTGCTGATTATCCGACTGCTGCACTCTGCTCAGCAGCCCCACTGGAAAAAATGCATCTTCGCCTATGTACCCAAAAATCCTTGCACCAGCCCTGAATGTATTTGCAGCAAAATACCGCACTCAGCCAATCGAATGTTCACTATAAGAAGCACTGATTGAAGGACTAAGTTTGACTCTGTTATTGCAGCTGAAGCACCCTCTCATGGTTGTAAGGAAGACAGCTACTAGACATGTGTTTAGTCCTGCAATAAAAACATAGCTGTATCTACTAAACAGCAATGTTTGCCACTGCAGAGCTAAAGCTACAGGCCACTGCACCCAGACCAGTTTTACTGAGACAAAGTGGTTTGGATGCATTTAATAGTCATTTAACAATATGCCAAATTGCAGTACGATGTCTAACATTTCTGCTATTTCTCAGTCTTTAACCTGCAGCCAAAATGTACAATATTTCTTAATTTGGGCATATATTTGTGATGGATTGGCTTCCTCCTCTTCTTTGACCTGCTAAGGAGGATTTAGAGAATTTGGAAAAATAGACAATTACAAGTCCTTCAGAAGACCCCAGATACTTCATAAGAAACCAGCTCCCAAAGAGAACATAAAAAGTAGATTGAAACCTACTCCCTACTGATTTTTCTTTTTCTCTGTCCTTTTACTTTACAATATAGGGCATAAAATGTTGGGAAATATGTTCTTGTAACTATATCTAACCGCTTTGCACATTTCTTCACTAGAAATAAAAAAATTTAATTTATGGTAATATTTTATACTAAAGTAATTGGCTCAAATTATTCAATGACTCTGTAATGCAACCCATAACTCATTAAAGGGACGCTATAGTCACCAAAAACACTACAGCTTAATGTAGTGGTTCAGGAGTCTAAAGCCGGTCAGTGCAGGCTCAGCAATGTAAACACAGCTTTATCAGATAAAAGGTAGTGTAAAAACTCCATTCTGAGGAGGGGGTTGGATCTAAACCGGTACTCCGGCACTATATTGTTAAGAATACATATTTGTATTCCTAACACTATAAAGGTGGTCCTCACTTTATGACCTACCTGTTTTACGACAGCTCGGACTTATGACCAGCTCTCTAGCGGGGGGATTCAAGGGATTCCCCACGTTAGAGAGCTGGTCTATGTTCAGTGAATTTTCTCTGAACATAGATTAGATGGATTCTGTGCTCTGGTGGATTCCCCATGTTAAACAGCTGGTCTACGTTTGGGTAAATTTCCCAGAACATAGACAAGCGCACCAGAGCATGGAATCCCTCTAATCTATGTTCAGGAAACATTACCCGAACATAGATTTGAGGGATTCCCTGCTCTGCTGCGCTTGTCTAGGTTAGGGGAAATTTACCCGAACATAGACCTCACTTACCGACCAATTAGTTTTACGACCGGATGGTAAGAACAGAACCCGGTCGGTAAGTGATGAGTATCTACATAGTATTTCTTTCATTCTTACATTATACCACTGACACTTCCTTCAGAATTTGGTTAAAGGGAGACGATAGGAACCCAGACCACTTCATCTCATTGATGCAATGAAATGAAGTAGTCTGGGTTCCTAAAGTGTCCCTTTGTACCCTTAATCCTGCAGAAAAAAAACTAACTGCGTATTTACATTAGGTGCCGCCATTGACAAGACGTTGCGGGAGGAGAAGACTGTCCCAGCGCTAAGGACTTCCGCATTGGAAATAGGTAAGTGAAAGAAAGGGTTAGTATAGTACTCCATTAATAGTTTATAGTTGGGAACTCTTTAAGGTGAATCCTAACCCTGGCAATCTCCAAACCTTAAAGGAATACTATAGTGTTAGGAATACTTTTTTTTTAGGTAAGTGAAAGAAAGGGTTAGTATAGTACTCCATTAATAGTTTATAGTTGGGAACTCTTTAAGGTGAATCCTAACTCTGGCAATCTCCAAACCTTAAAGGAATACTATAGTGTTAGGAATACTTTTTTTCACTTACCTGATTCCAGCACCGATGTCCCTCAGTGCTGGGTCAGGCTCCAAAGTCACTGCGATTCGAGAACCTAATGCAAATGCGTGATGAGTACCGCACACATATTATGCCTTCCCGGAAGGAAAGCATCAAACTCTGTGGCTGACTTTACCTGCAATATAAATATTGCAGTTTCTCTAAAACTGCAATGTTTGCAGCTGCAGGGTTAAGGGGACAGGGACACTGCACCCAGACCACTTCAATGAGATTAAGTAGTCTGGGTGCCTTTAGTGTCCCTTTAAAGTTACCCAACCCAAACCCTAAAGACCTCAGAAGTGTGAAAAACCTCTCCAGTCCTAAAGATAACCTATTGCTAAATGAAATGATGGGGTACAACCTAAATGTTAATCAAATAAAGGCTGAATTTAGAAAACAAAATGAGTAAAATTTCAGCAGATGGCTGCACTTGCAATAGAACTTGAGCCAGTGGTGGAGGTATAATATCAATAACTGACACATTTTACACATGCACATATCCTATCAAGCAATAAAACAATAGCAAATTCATGATCATCTGCCATTAGAGTGACAGTGCATTTTCCAAATACAAATACATCATATTTAGTAAATATACTAAGATTTTATTATTCATTTTATCATTGGGGGTATATCTAAAAACAGATGCAGATTTCATGTGTGCAGCCTTTGAAAATACTCCCCTTCTTGCCCCAAACTTTCTATGGCTGTCTAATCACAAACATCCCAATGGAGTTCATTGAGAAGTATTTGCGAGGCAGGTGCTCTGAGTAAATTGCTGCCTTTTGAGTTTAGCTCCACTGAGCTAAACGTACACTGATCAACCACAACATTAAAATCACCTGCCTAATACAGTGTATGTCCCCCCCCTCATGCTTCCAAAAGAGCATGAACTCCACAAGACCTCTGAACATGTCCTGTGGTATCTGGAAAGAAGACATTAGCAGCAGATCCTTTAAGTCCTGCAAGTTGCTGGGTGGGGCCTATATGGATCAGAGTTGTTGTTACAGCGCAGCCCACAGACGCTCAATTTAATTGAGATCTGGGAAATTTTGGAGGCAAAGGAAACACCTTGAACTCTGTGTCATGTTCCATAAACCATTCCTGAACAAGTTTTGCAGTGTGTTAGGGTGCATTATCCTGCTGAAAAAGGATGCTGCCATCAGGCCAGGGAACACCACTGCCATGAAGGGTGTACCTAGTCTGCGACAATCTCTAAGTAGCCGGCACATGTCAAAGAAACAACCACATGAGTGCCAGGACTCAGTTACCCAGCAGAACATTGCTCAGAGCATAATACTGACTGCCAGCCTGCTTTCTTTCCATAGTGCATCCTGCTGCCAGCTCTTCTCCAGGTAAACGATGCACATGGTCACACACCTGATCTAAAAGAAAACTGAATTCATTGGACCAGGCAACTTTCTTCCATTGCTTCATGATCCAATTCTGATGCTCACATCCCCAATGACTGTGCTTTTAGCGTTGGACAGAGGTCATCATGGGGACTCGAACCAGTCTGCAAACTGCAATGCACATTCAGTTCTAACACCAATTTGAGCTGCACTGTCTCTCTCATTTGCTCTCCATGTGCATCAATGAGCCTTGAGCGTTCATGACCCTGACGCCAGTTCACCAGTTGTTCCTTTCTTGCACCACTTTTGGTAGGTACTAACCATTGCAGGAAGACCCCACAAGACTTGCCATTTTGAAGATGCTCTAAACCCAGTCGAGTAGCCATAACAATGTGGACCTTGTCAAAGTCACTCAAATCTTTTCGCTTGCCCATTTTTCCTGCTTCAAAAACCATGAAATTCAAGAATGGACTTTTCCCTTGCTGCATCAATATATCCCAGCCATTGACAAGTGCCATTGTAACAATATACGGGTAGTTTTCACTTAACGACTTAACCTGTTTACCGATTGCTCTGACATACGACCAGCTTTCTAGCGTGGGGAATCACCCGAATCAGAGTCTTGGAAATTCCCCCAAACAGATTCGAGGGATTCCCCGTGCTAGAGAGCTGGTCTATGTTTGAGGAAATGTCCCCCAAACATAGACCTGCTCTTTCATGCATGCAAAATTTGGTTGTCTCGATAGTGTGAGGCATCCTTGCTTACTGACTAATTTGTTTTACGATCTAGTCGTAGGAACGGAATGCGGTCGGTACGTGAGGGGTGCCTGTAATCAATGTTATTCACTTCACCTGTCAATGGTTTTAATGTTGTGGCTGATCAGTGTAGTTACATAAGCTGAAAAAAGACTTGCGTCTATCAAGTTCAGTCAGACACTTCTGTTTTGCGGTTGATCCAAAAAACGGCAAAAAAAATAAAAATAAACACAATTTGAAGCACTTTCCAATCTTGCAACAAACTAGAAAAAATGGCCATCTCGACGCTAGAATGGTAGTCAGATCTTTCTTTATATTAAGATGCGGTTTCCCCTACATATTGAAAATTATATCCCTGAATATTCTGTTTTTGCAAGAATTCACCCAGTTCCTGTTTAAACATCTGTGCAGATGCTGTTATCCCTAATTTTATGGCAAGACAGGAGGCCTCATATTTGTTTTACCTTCGTTACTGAAACCTCCAGCAGCAAAGTAGTTAACATAACTTTTCAGAAACAACCAATCAGAACAAAGAACGGTAGAACAAAATACACAGGCAGACCCTCCCACTTCCTCTTTATTTGCTGCTGCCTCCAGGTGAGCACTTCCCAACTCAGAGAGTGTCTGCTCTGGGCTGTTGATTGATTTATTGTTCATGTATTGTATGCTGCTTATATTTCTATATGCTGCATGTTTTCCTTGATTTCTAAGTTGTGTTTACAGTGCCTTGCAAAAGTATTCACCCCCCCCTTGACTTTTTACCTATTTTGTTACATTACAGCCTTAAGTTCAATGTTTTATTAATCTGAATTGTATGTGATGGATCAGAACACAATAGTCTAAGTTGGTGAAGTGAAATGAGAAAAATATATACATAAAACTATTTTTTAGAAATAGAAAACAGAAAATTGGCATGTGCGTATTTATTCACACCCTTTGTTATGAAGCCCATAAAAAGCTCTGGTGTAGCCAATTACTTTCAGAAGTCACATAATTAGTGAAATGATGTCCACCTGTGTGAAATCTAAGTGTCACATGATCTCTCATTACTTATACACACCTTTTTTGAAAGGAGAGGCTGCAACACCTAAGCAAGAGGCACCACCAACTGAACACTGCCATGAAGACCAAGGAACTCTCCAAACAAGTAAGGGACAGTGTTGTTGAGAAGTACCAGTCATGGTTAGGTTATAAAAAAAATAAATATCCAAATCTTTGATTAACCCCAGGAGCACCAAATATATCATAACCAAATGGAAAGAGCATGGCACAACAGCCACTGGCGGATCCGGAGCCTTATCTCGGGAGGGGCACTCATAGATTATTTAAAGAAACAATCCAGGCACAATAACCACTACAGCTCTCTGTAGTGGTTATGGTGCCCAGAGTGCTGTGGTGCCCTCCCAGAGTAAATAGTCAAACCGTTTAAGAACAGTTTGACAATTTACCTGTGGTCTGCAAGGATAGGGGCTGTAGTATGGGGATAGGGCCTCTAGGTAGGTAGGTGTGTGTGTGTGTGTGTGTGTGTGTAGGAGGGGCAGTGTGTGTTTGTGTGAGTGGTGTAGTGTGTGCATGGGAGCAAACTAAAGCAACACTTGAGTGGTTTAAGGGGAAACATGTAAATGTGTTGGAATGGCCTAGTCAAATCTGTGGTCAGACTTAAAGATTGCTGTTCACAAGCGCAAACAATCCAACTTGAAGGAGCTGGAGCAGTTTTGTATGAGGAATGGTCAAAAATCCCAGTGGTAAGATGTGGCAAGCTCATAGAGACTTATCCAAAGCGAATTGGAGCGGTGATTACCGCAAAAGGTGGCTCTACAAAGTATTGACTTTAGGGAGGTGAATAGTTATGCACATTTTCTGTTATTTTGTCCTATTTGTTGTTTGCTTCACAATAAAATAAAAAATAAAATAAAATCTTCAAAGTTGTGGGCATGTTCTGCAAATTAAATGATGCAAATCCTCAAACAATCCATGTTAATTCCAGTTTGCCAACGGGGGGGTGAAAACTTTTGCAAAGCACTGTAGTTAGTATGTTTGGTTATTCATTCCATCCAGTTTTTGTGTGGGGCTCTTGGGCTGTGTGCCTGATAAGCATTCCTTAACTCGGAGAGTGTGTCTGCTCTGGGCTGTTTATTGCCTTATTGTTCATATATTACTATATGCTGCATGTTTTCCTTGATTTCTAAGCTGCATTTAATTAGTATGTTTGGTTATTTATTCCATCTAGTTTTGTGTGGTGCTTTCCCCAAACTCAAAAAGTGTGTCTGCTCAGGGTTGTGTTTATTACTCTATTGTTCATGTTGCAATATATGCTGCATTTTGCCTTGCTGTCTAGTGTGTTTAGTCTAGTATATTTGGTTGTTTATTTACCATCTAGTTTTGTGTGGGGCCTTTGGGGCTAGTGTGGACAACTTTACGGGTTTTCCCCTGTTCTGGTCTCCCCACACCGGCATTTTTACCCGTCCGCTCTCCCGTGCCCCCCTGCATTGATTTCAGCATCGGCGCCATGTTTTTACCCGCTGGCGTCCGGTGTGCTCTCACGGTCGGTGGAGGCTTTACGCCAAGCGGCTGCATATGCCGCGATAGGCTGCAGCATGTTACCGCGGCAGCTATTTTGTCGCTTTGCGTCTCGGCTGTTGGGCCACACCTGCAGCACTGCGCGGGGTTCTACTGGCTATGTGTCTGGCCCCCCTTTTTTTCCCTCTTTTCTCTTGCAGGTTTTTATGTGAAGACAGCACAGTATGTATTCTGTAGACATGAGTGTGCTGCTCCCCCTCACTGTTTGTTTGCATTACTACCTACTAAACTGTAGTGTTTGTTTTGTGTGTTCCAGCCCCCTCCCTGGGGAGATGCTGTCTGTCTGTTGCAGAGTGACACATTTCTGTATGCCTGGTGTTCAGGCCCCTTATTACTGAACTCATGGTCTTACGATGTCTAGTGCCTGAGTGCACTGTATAGTGCGGGTGTCCACCCCCAGCCCTGTCCGGGCCATGATGGGTGATGTGTTTTGGCTGCTGATTCCTATTACTGCCAGCCAGCCACAAGGAGTCATCCTGTCACTCACATCCAGCCACAGGTGGACCATCCGGTCACTCTCATCCAACCACAGAGGCACCATCTTGTCACTCACAGCTAGCCATCCTGTCACTCATGACCAGTCACTGGGTGCTGTCCGATCACTCACAGCCCGCCATCTTCTCGTTCACAAATATTTCCATCAGACAGAGGGCGACCCCCTCTCTATTGGGCTGCTCTGCTTTAAGCTATAGTGTTTGTTGGGGGTCACCCAGCTGGCCACGCGCCCTCTACCTCACTGGCTTGTGCTTTTTTTCCCTCTGTTTCAGTGGAACTACTATGGCCGATGTCTCAGCCTTTATGCGCCCGAAGGCCTCCAGGCCTGCGTGTGTCCCATTCTTGGACTCCCTACTTAAGGCGCTTGCCATCTTCCATGGGATTGACCCCCCCCCAATTGCCTTGCAGCCTACTCCTCTCGCATCTGGCTCTAGAGGCTCTAACTCAGATGGTTTTCTCCACCCCCTTGGGACAAGCTCTACATGAAAGCAACGCAGGACAGGCTAAGGCGCCCCCACGCACAAGGGCAAATTACCCGCTAAATTGGCTAGACTAGGCCCCGGTGCGGCCAGACGTGAGGATGTGGACACCACCTTGACGCCCCACGATTGCAATGTTCTTACTTTCTACAAGGCTGACAACTCGTATGCTGCTTGCCTGGTGAAGGCACCTTTGGTTGTTACTCCCGCTATGTTAAACAGATGGTGGTCAATGTTTCCCCGGTTGATGTCCCCAGTCGGCCCTTGCGGTCAATCCCATGAAGATGCTGGATCCTTCAACTCATGCGTCCACTCCTCAGAGTGGACACTCCCCGGCCACATTACAGAGTTCCTCAGGTGTTCGCTCCACCGCCCTCTGGATAAGGAAGTCAGGGCGAAGCTTCAGGCGGGGTGCCCCCTTACTACACTACCGGATAAAGTGACCCTTACCCTGACTTTGACCTGGTGTTTTCAACTTTCTGGCACGCTCCGTGAAGGATCCGCAAAGGGGCCTGGAGCAAGACAAGCTCCTTGATATCAGCGACACGCTGATGAAGAAAAAATAGTGGATGCGCACCTCCTTTGTGAATGGGTCCAACTTACCATCTGCTTGTGTGGCAACGCCAATGTGGCAGCTCTTTACGCCATGGACAGGAAGCTGGATGACTTGGAGGGCTGGTCGACATTCAAAATCTTTCTCCTCCTATTCCTCCCGCTGCCAGTACCACCTGCTGTTCCCCGGTGGTTCGTTCAGGGACTGTGGTACCTCATCCACCTCGGCTCAATACTTCTCAGGTAAGAGTCCTTCCTTATTTGCCTGACTTCCCAATTACGTACAGGCTGTCTCAATGTTTCAAGATGGAGGACATTCATCTTCTAGGGATTTTGCTCTGCGTGGACATTCAGTTCTTGCATCTAAAACTGAGGGAAGTTTTCTCACTGTGCTGATTCATTGCAACTACAGGCACTGTTTTGGTGGCTAGTCCCCATTCTGCAGTTTCCCTGCCTTCTATTCGGCCTTAGCTCTGTCCCATGGTGCTTCATCACATTGTTGAAAACAGTCATAACGGCTCTGAGAGCCTGGGGGATACAGTGTATCGTATATTTGGACGACATTCTCCTGATGACACAGGACCCCTTATGGTCCTTCTGCTCCAGGATCTGTGGTTCGTAATCAACGTGGAGAAGCCATTTCTGGTTGGTCCAGTTTCTGAGCTTCATCATGGATTTGACTCCAACGCGGTGCTCCATCTACCGCTATCCAAGGTGGCCACAATCAGATCACTTTGTGGTAACTGACATGGACGATGGGTCTGCCCTCATCCTCCATTCGGGACATCTTCCCGCGACCCAAGCTTTATTGGGCTCTACTACGCCTGAATGATCGCTATCACAGGACTTCAACTTCCTGCGTCCTGGTTTTGCTCCTTTCATATTAGGTGACCTAGAACTCCATTGGAGGCTTCGACACATGGGGACCTGGAACAACAAGGCAATTTCGGCTCCCCTACGGGCTTCATCAGGAATTTTACCCTACACTGGTGGGACGCCATCGATTGACAGCTTCATTCGGGGTTGTGTATGTTGCTGCCTTTCCTCCATGATACATAGGACTTTCCATCAAATCAAGTTACTGAGAGTGTAGATACCCTTGACCGCACCACTGTTAAGGAGTCAGTTGTGGTTTCCTCTACATCTGGGATGTTTTTCAAAGACCTGTTACTGCTTCCTGCCTCTGGGTTTCTCCTTTGGATCCCGCACATGTTGATCTTCGAGAGTTGCAGTTCGAGCGTTGCCCTAGGACTGTTGGACGCCAAGCACTAGGCGATTCTCTGCACGTCCGATAGGCCTGACATTGCTGGTATTTGCAGAGGCATTTTGATCCCTTTTGTGGGCGTCCTGAACTCCTTGGACGAATTCTATTTTTTTCAAGGTAAATCTTTCCGGCCAATTTTTTGTCATCCGGTCCTCCATCTTGGTGGCTTATGTTCCCTCTCAGGGCTCTTGCATCTGGGAACAGGCTTCTCCAAGGTATGAGTCTTTCGAGACCCCTGCTTCACACTATTCCTTGTTCTGGGACGTATCGGTCGTCTTTCGTTTCCTTAGGAACTAACCAGTTAACTGAATGATCTCCCCGTCAGCTTTCAGCTAAGCTTGTTTTTCTTCTCTGTTTCGGGTCTTCCCGTTGCTCTCAGATATTCGCACTGTTAACATGGAAGTTTTTTTTCTTTCTCCCCTGACGGTGTTTCATTTTTCATTATCTCGCAGAACAAAGTTTATTTGTCTGTTGTACTCTTATTTTACAGATGGGCCACATCTCTGGGTGGCTTGTTGTCTACGGACATATCACCGTGACTTGGTCTCTTAATTTCTCTGCCCGTGGGTGGCTATTGATTTTATATGTGCGTCCGTGTCAGGCAGCCTCTGTCTCTCTGCCTCTGCAGGCACTGAGAGATCCTTCAGGGCACTGCAGTATTGGTGACTCTGGTATCCGGTGGGTCCTTTTACGGATTTTCTCCTATCTGCAGATTGGTCTATGGAGACGATTTTTCACGCGTCTTATTTTCGTTCGCGCTTTAATATTTCTTCTGCGTCTATGTCTGGGCGTTAAAATAGCAAATATGAAGCCTCCTTTCTTGTCATAAAATTAGATTATTCTAGCCTTGGTGAAGGAATAATCTAAATTTTATTAAAGACAGGAGCCAAATATTTCCCCCTCTGCTTGTTTTGATGTTTCCCACCCTGGATTGTGGGTTATTTTGGGGGTATTTGTTGTGATTTTGTATTGTTTCTGTCATGTGTTTGGTTGAATTTAACTATGATTTAATGCTAGTTGTCTGTTTGAGTTTATTCATTATGTCTTAACGTACTACAGTACTAATGTTTCGTATGACATTCTGTCTGGCAGTTTACTTTCACGATGTTTCTTCTTCCTTGCAGTGTAAATTAGGATTTCTCTTGGTTCTGGATGTTTCTCATTTGATTGTGCCTGCTACAGATTGGCTCAGTTGTATTTCATGCTCTCCTGCTCGACCTCATCAAAGAAAGAGGAAGTGGGAGGGTCTGCCTGAGTGTTTTGTTCTACTATTCTTTGTTCTGATTGGTTGGTTGTTTCTGAAAAGTTATGTTAACCATTCTTTGCTGCTGGAGGTTTCAGTAAAGAAGGTAAAGCAAATATGAAGCCCCCTGTCTTTAAAAATAAAATTTAAATTATTCCTTCACCAAGGCTAGAATAATCCCTGATTCACAACAATTTAGGGTGTAAGTTGTTTGTGCATTCTTCACCCAGAATTGCGTAACTTTGCATTTACATACCTTCAATTTCATCTGTCATTTTAGTTTCCAGTTCCCCAATCAATCTAAATCCCTTTATAGCGAAGCAATATCCTGCTCACATTGTATTGCCTTACCTAGTTTTGTGTCACCTGCAAACATTGTCAGATGACGCAGGATTTTCAATGCCTATTTCAAGATCATTTATAAATAGCTTAAACAGAAGTGGTCCCAGAACAGAACCCTGAGCGACATCACTTACCACTTTTGTACAGTTTAAAAATGTACTATTAATGACAACTCCATTAACTTTAGGCTAATGTTCTACCCAAGGACACGAATTTTCATCTCGAAAAATTGCTATTCGTTTGAAATATAGCCAGTTGTGTGGAACCATATCAAATGCCTTGGCAAAATCCACATGGATCACATCCACTGCAAGACCCTGGTCTATATTTCTACTTACTCTTAGTTAGTTAGTTTGACATGATTGTTGTTTCATAAATACCACGCTGATTTTTGCTAAAAACTTTGTTCTTTATAATGAACTGTCGAATATTATCCCTTAACAACCCTTCAAATAATTTCTCAGCCACAGACGTTTAGCTCACAGAACTATAATTTCAGGCAGAGAATTTGAACATATTTGTAAAATAGGAACCACATCTGCCTTTCTCCAATCCTCCAATAAAATTCATGAAAGATTTGACACAAAGACTCCCTTAGCACATTAAATAACTCGTTGGTGAATATCATCTGGCCATTGGGCATTGATGAAAACCAAGAGGTCACAGGGTGAATCTGACAACTTTGAATTTTTAATTGAAGCCTGCACTTTTTTTAAATGAAAGACACACTCTTAACATTGAAAACACTTCAACAAGCTAAAATGCTCTGGGCGCTTGGGGTGTTCCTTTAGGGGTAAATTAGCAAATTGTAAAATAAGCTATCAAACACATCAAAAGCAATTCCCTGTGCAATTAGTCCTCAGAGTAATTTATATAACAGAGAGATAATTTTACCTTTAAGGTTTTGTAGTAAATTGCTCTATTTATTTCAAGAGGGCATAGGTTCTGTTCCTTCACTGAGCGAGCCCAGTTTACATAGCGCAGCCAGTTGCCTTTCTGGGGATCTGTAGCATCAATGCACATCCATCCCAAATTTGGGTAATAGACCTGAAATACAAGTGTATGGATTAGCTTTTCATTTATTTACAATTACATACATGTATATAGCTCTGCATATTAATAGCATGCAAAAGAAGGGAGGGAGATAAGAAAAAGACCAGGCAGATAGCGACACTGTTAGTCTTCAGTCCAAAATTATTTGATCAGTATGGGTACCTTTAACTATCGCTGGATAACTTCCAATTATTCCCTCATTACCAACTGTAATAATACTAATTTTAATCAAGCTCAGGAGAATGAAAGTCTAAGTTGAAACAATTTTTTTTTTTTGTTTGTTATTTTTTTATGTGCAAGTAGATTGTCTGATTTCTTGGGATTCCACACGCGCAGCAGATGAAAAGAATAATGCTTGGCAAAGTACTGGAAGGCAAGTTGCAATTAAAGGGACACTTTATCACCAAAACAACTTTAGCTTAATGAAACCGTTTTGCTATATATATTGTAACTGCAGTCACACTGCTCTATTCTCTGCCATTTGGGAGTTAAATCACTTTTGTTTGTGTTTAGTGTGTTATGCAGCCTAGCCACACCTCCCCTGGCTGTGACTGACAGAACCTGCATGAAAACAAAAATGCTTTCATTTCCAATCAGATGTTTACTTACGTTAGGAGTTTTTCTCTCCTGCTCTGTAAATTGAACTTTCATCATCTGTGAGCAGGCGATAAGAAATTCTACATTAAACAGAATGAGCAAAGTAAGTTTAAACATTAGATTTCACTTTACAGGAAATGTTTAAGAAGGGTTTGTAAGTCACATGTAGGCAGGTGTGATTCAACTTCTTATTGGCAGAAGAATAAGCAGTTAGACTGCAGGGGCTTGATCTATGCTTAATTAAGCTAAAGTTGTTATAGTAAATACAGTGTCCCTTTTATTTTTTTAAGATGTCATTACACATTTTTGCTACAATATTTGACAAATTATTTAGGCATGTGAGACAAACACACCCCTGCCCTTAATTTTACATTAAAAGTATATATATATATATATATATATATATATATATATATATTATAGTGTAGGAGGGTTACTAAGAACACAATGTGCACTATTTCAAGCAAAGAAAAATTAATACCCATGGTACATTGACATAGTAGTGATATATTAACACAGTATGCCCACATTGTGTGACTAAAATCCCCATATTTTTAACGTGATAGCTGATTTTAATAAGCCTTGAAAGATTACAAACAGAAGGTTTTGCGTATTTTCTATAAACTGATGTCACATTTCTTACAAAGTCATTCTACAGAATTAACTAGGTGTGGACTCAAAGTAGTAACTACCAAAGCTCAAAGCTTGAATAACAGAACAATGTTATTGCGTTACTTATTTTTGCTTTTATTAAACCTATTTTGTGAGTCACAAGACCAATGCTAATATAACATATTCAACTCTGAGAGTAAGGGTTAAAACTCGTATAATTTAGAAACAAAGCAGGCAGATTTTGAGTCAATCTGAATTTTCTGCAGGCAAGTACAGTGGGAATTGTTGTGCACACTTGAGAAAATCACGGTTTTGCCACAGCAATGTCTCTGAAGTGTTATGAATACTAGATACATTGGTATAATGTTCTGATTAGTGCTCCAGCTGTGTGTTCAAACCAGAGGTTTGATCTAACTGTTGTGCTCAAGTGTGAAATCTGTAGAGATGGGTTAGGTGAAATGTTAGCAAAATGCACACACGTTTGCTGCAAAGTGCGGCACGTATGTCCTTGAATAGAATGATTGCAATAATAACCACATTATCTCTAAATTTCTGCTAGTGCTAACTCATTTCTTAAAGAGAGAGTTGTTTTGGTGCCTACAAGTATCTAAAAGGGACACTATAGTCACCAGAACAACTACAGCTTAATGTAGTTATTCTGGTGAGTATAATCAATGCCTGAAGGCATTTTCATGTAAACACTGTCTTTTCACAGAAAAGACAGTGTTAGATTGCCCCCTAGGAATACCTTCAAGTGGCTACTCCTCAGACGGTCTGAATGGAGATGCTGAATTTTCCACATAGAAATTCATTGATTCAATGCATCTCTTTGAGGTGCTGATTGGCCAAAACAACATTTGGCCCTGCCACCCATCCCGCTCCTTGGCTGAAAATTGTCAATTCTGGTAATGTCACCAAGGAGGCAGATCGCGGCAGGGCCAGAGTCAGTGAAATTAGGTGAGTTTTCACCTTTTCTACGGGGGGGAGGGAATCAAGCCACCTAAATGGTGGATTTAACACTATAGGGTAAGGAATACATGTTTGTTTACCTTAAATAATTGTATCTCTATCTCTAAATTGAACTTTAATCACATATATGAGGCTCTTGCAGGGTCTAGCAAGCTATTAACATAGCAGGGAATAAAAAAATCTTCATTAAACAGAACTTGCAATAAAGAAAGTCTAAATATCTAAAGTCTTTATGCCCTGCGATTTTCTCATTTCTTTTCTTGTTTTGAAGCAGATATCACTTCCTGAGAAGAGACCGTTTCTGGTTCCTATTTCATTATTCCCTGCAGTGATTAACACAGCAGAGTTAAAAACTTACAAACCTCTGCTGTACTTCCGTGATGCGGAACCTTCGCTGCCTCACGATGCCTTGGAAACGCATGGATCTAACTGAGAAATGCTGTGTACTTGCTCAGCATTTCAGTGCTGTATGTGTGCATGCACCATGCATACAGCATTATGTGAGTTAACTAATTTACATACCCGGCAAATCATGCAAATGAATATAAAATAAACTATAAATAGCACAAACCGTAGTTCATTTTAGTTGACAATTTAGATTTTGCTAAAATTGGCAAAGTGACAGTTCCTCTTTACAGGAAAACTGTCACTTCTATGGCCATTACACCATTAAATAAAACTATGGAAATCACCTATAACTTGAGCTAATTGTATTTTTTTTTTTTTTCATGAGATGATCCATTTTATTGTGATTTTATATTAAAGATTTAACAAATTACATTATAATCCAGTTCAGACAAGCTGAATTGAAGGCAAACCTGCAAGTTAGGAGGAATGTATCCTCTTCACTGTAAACTTACTCTATGTTCACAGCCAGGTACAAAAGGACAATGCTTATAGTAATGACTGACAGGGGGCTAAGATAGAGGTGCCCAGTTGCAGGAAAAAGAGGTTTGGGGATTTGTACAGTGACGTTTATTTTCTAAAAATAAATATATATATATATATATATATATATATATATATATATATGGGATGTGCAACTATTAAAACATCTGAGAAGTAACAGTTGCCCTTAAAGGGACACTATAATCACCAGTGCAACTACATGTATTCCTGACCCTATAGTGTTAACACGACCATCTAGCCCCCCTGGGCCCCTCATGCCTCCATAAATATAGTAAAACTCTTACTGCTGTAAATCTGCATGCTGTTAGACTCAGGAAAAACAAGCAGTCTGCTGACATGTGATAGCCTGATCCAATCACAGTGCTTCCCCATAGGATTGGCTGAGACGGACAAGGAGGCAGATCAGGGGCAGAGCCAGCATGATTCAAACACAGCCCTGGCCAATCAACATCTCCTCATAGAGATGAATTGAATCAATTAATCTCTATGAGGAAAGTTCAGTGTCTGCATGCAGTGGGAGGAGATACTGAATCACAGGATGCTCGTACACAGCAGATCTGAGTGGATGGAGGCATATTATGCCTCTATCAAATCAGAAGTCCCTCTGGTTCACGCTGAGTGACTGCAACTGGAGGTGTTCCTAGCTTTCAATGTAAACCCTGTATTTTCTCAGAAAATAGTGTTTACATGAGAGGCTGCAGGGAGCTATAGCTCTCACCTGAACAACCTCATTAAGCTGAAGTTGTTAAGGTGACTATAGTGTCCCTTAAAGCTTGCGTCCAGACTTTTTTCTTTTTTGAGCTGTAGGATGCAACAGAAATAGACTTGAACAGAGTAATGCAGCTGCCATTTGCCAGGGACCAGGTGGCATAGAGGGTGTTATGCACACACAATTACAGATTATAAATGTATGTTTGGAGAGTGAGTTACAAAAGGCATGATTATAAATAACAATCAAGAATATAAAGCATGGTGCTTGATTAAGGCCATTAGAAAAGATGAGTCTGTTGTTAAACAGTTAACTCACAGCCCTATGTGCAACAGTTAAAGATATCCTTCTGTGAACCCTTCCAGCCTGTTATTCCACTGATCACTGCCTGTGTATATACACTCATCTGAGTTGCTGTTTACATTTTGTGAACAGCCCTTAACTCATGGCATGTGAATGCCTATTTGTGTAAAACGTAATATTTTCTTGTTCCTCTCCATGCAGTGCTATTTAGAGCAGACACTTGGCGCCAGGCAATGTGAAAGTACATAATCAAGCAAGTGATCCAGACTGAGCAGCAATAAACCAATAAGGATAGGTCATCAGTTAAACTGTTCAACAGAAGATGCTTTTTGCTGTATTACAAAATAAAAGGAGTGGGTTATTTTAGCAGCTTATATTAGAGTACAACTGACCGTCGCAAATAATAGTGTAGCTTTGAGAATAACATTTAATCTGTACATTCTAGCCAAATTGCTAGTAAATCGTGTATAGCTCTATCCCACTGAGTTACATAAACTATCAGCAGCATATGAACTTTAACTGTGAACATTCTGGAAAGTACACATTGCTTATTCTCTGTCTTAAGTTCTCCAATGCTGTATATGTTTACAGAGCTGAATACAGTATTATGGTTCCAAATCTATTCAAATATTAGATAACGTGGAACATACATTTATATGTAAAACATTTTTACCAAGAAGAGATGTTATTTTCATGTGTATCCAAAAGTGCACATGCAAATACACTGGTAAAAATATAATCGGTGACATATATAGTGCAATTATAAATACATTGTTTTACATAACTGCAGAACACACAAGAAAGTTATAAATTAACAATGAGCGCAGTTGTTTTTTAATTGAAGATAGACTGATGCACATGTTTTCAGTGAATTCAGACTGGTGGAAGATTTAATATACTCTGTCATGTTATTCAAAGTAAGTCAGTCACTCAACTTAGTGTTATAGAGATATGTATAGAGATATAAGGTGGAAAATGATGATGAGGAAGTAGAATATAGTGCAAATATGGGGGTGGAGGCAGCAGGGGTGAGCATACTCAGGTAGTGTTTCCCAGAGAAAATGTTATGAACAGGGGCATAACTAAGAACCACAGAGCCCCGGTGCAGGAATCAGAGAAGTGCCCCCTTTACGCTCTCACCGATACACATACACTGACATTCACTCATTGACAACGCTGTCATTGGCACACACTGTTTACCCAACACGCACACATTCTCACTGACAGACACACGGATATGCACACTCTCTCAGATAAACACATATACTGGCATACATACACACACTGATACACTAATAGAATGTGTATATGTGTGAGTGTGTCAAATCAGTGATAGTGTCTATCACACAGTCACAGTAAATTTTATTTGTAGTGGGCGTATTTTGGCCCGCCCAGCCTCCCTACCTTTGGAACTGCTGGTATAGGTCCTCTCCCTGGGGTCTGGTGTGGCACTGCTTTAATCTTCATGCTCTTCCTCACTGCTCCCTTGTACACTGTTTAATGATGCCGGGGCAGGAGTGACATCATATCCCAGCATCACTGCAGGATGCGTCAGAGAGCAGCATAGGAAAAGCACAAAGTTTACAGCTTTCTCGCCACTGCCTTCCTTCTCTACCTATGGACACCGTATATATATATATGCAGAGTAGGTACCTGCCGTCTGAGTAAGCAGGTATAGTGGATATCAATCACCCCAGTTTCCCCCAACATCAACTATAGTGGATATCAATCACCCCGGGGTTCCCAAAGGTGGCCAGCCTTTTGACAGAAGGGATGCAGAGGGCACAGTTTCACATGCGACTTTAGTCACCTCTCTAGTTCTGCCACTGCTTAATGTAGTAGTTCTGGTTCTGGTGTCTATAGCCTGTCGAAGCAGAGAAAAGGGTAGTGTTTACATAGCTTCCTAGGGACACCTCTAGTGACTATAACTACTTGGAGAAAGTTGAGTTAGTAAAAGAGGGTAAGATGTACAATATTCTAAAAACAATCTTACACCAGAATAAGACAAAGCAACTGTTCTCTAGATGTGTTAGAATGTTGGATCTAATGGATGATTCCGCCCCGCCCAGTGTTATTAAAAAATGGAATACTTAATTAAAAACAAATATAGAATTATCTGAATGGCTATCTACGGCACAAAAAATTAATAAATATGTCCACTTCTTTGTATTGATAGAAACACATTTTAAGTTGGCTAACCAATGGTATATGACGCCAACAAAAATAGCTAAATTTGATGTATCTAGGGACACTAAGTGTTGGAAATGTAGAGAGGAAAAAGGAAATTATATCCATATGTGGTGGTCATGTAAGCAAGTGATTATTGTATGGCAGTGGGCTCAATTTATCATTCATACACTGTGTGATGTCAAAATGTCTCTAAAACCTGAAGTAATGTTATTACATTATAAATGGCCGAAATTGAATAAAATAAATCAATTTTTAATTATCCATTGTCTAATGGCTTGTAAAATAATAATAGCAAGAAATTGGAAGGGAGATACCCCTTTTAGCATCAAATTAATAACAACTCAGTTGGTTTACCAACTTAGAATGGAGAAGGATTATTGCAAGCTCCTGAATGATGATTTGAGCCTATGAGAAAATTGGGAGAAAAAATTATTACAATTGTAAAAGTAATATCATCTGAAAAAGATAGAAAAGTTGGAAGTCAGTAGAACTCTCATGGGGTGGTGGATAGTTTTTTGTTTTTTGTCCTTTTTATGTCCATTTTTATGTGGATGAATGCTTTTTAATATTTTTTTGTACAATGTATTTATGGTGAAAAAATTGATAATAAAAAGAAATTGAAATAAAAAAAATAAAATCACATAATTATGTTAAAAGATTACTTAAATATACATGTAGAATTTTAATATATATATTTAAATTCTATGTGTATACTTATGTAATCAATTATGCAAATATTTATATTTGCAGTTATTTGTATTTTTTATATATATATATATATATCATATCTAACTTCATTCTAAGTGTATTTTAACACTAATATATGTACTTGTATTATTAAAATACACTACGTATGACGTTACATATATTTGAGATATATACACACACACACTTAATTTATTTTATATGTTTAATAATGTTTTGTTTTTTTACACTACCCACCAGCAGGGGGACTGTTTGACAGCCCAGACCGTCTCCCTGCTGGCAGGTCCACAGCCAGCTTTTGCAGCCATGTAATTTCCCGGGGGCGGGCTGCCTGGGCTGTCAGGCAGTCCTCCCGAAGAGGATTGCGATGGAGGCAAGTACTGCGGAGCTCCTGAGGGCTTAAGCCGTTACGGCGTTCTATGACGCCGCAACAGCTTTAAAGCCCATTATAATGGGGACGGCATAGAACGTCGTAACGACGTTAAGGCTGAATGAAATTCACAAGTGGATCCCAGACTCTAGAACCAGTTTAATGAGATGAAGCAGATACAGTGCCTACAGTGTCCATTTAATGTAAAATGTCTGCAGTCTTCAAATTCTGTAACATTTATCTTATGTGGTATCGGTCATCAAGATGCAGCCAAAGCACTAAGGCTGTTCATGCGATTATAATTTACTCTCTCAACTGATGCAACGCTCTACTCATCAGTTTCTTTTTACAAATATCATTTTGCAACAATCCATAGTGAAAACTTCAGCCTGATTTTTCTTGCCTTATCCAACAATCATAAGCAGTGCTCAATTCCTACATGAACACATGTGAACGGTATTCCTGTATTTTTTTTTTCCTAAGCAAGACCACCAAGGAGGACCATATAGAGCTCTTTGTCCCTTAATGGGCCGTCAGCAACCCATCAAACTTTCATGTCAGGCAGGTGGTGATCGTAATGCCAGTCAAGAGGGGAACCTGGAGGTCTATCCCTACGTTTCTATCTCTTACGAACTCCAGAACTTACATTGTCAAAGCGTTGCCAAGGTAAACCACAGAAACACTGACAGTTAGTGTAAGTGCCAAGTTTTCAAGAGAGATATAGAGGTGCTAGGCAGTCATAGACCTCCCAGCTCCCCTCTTCAGCCTGCACCTGTAGTAAAGGCAACTCAAAGCTTGACCACCGGTTATCTGAATGCCCCCTCCTTGTTCTTGCCTTACAGAGATTACTTTTTTCTGTTAAAATAATTATTTAAAAATGTGTGTATATATATATATATATATATATATATATATATATATAATTTTTTTTTATTTTTATTTTTTATTTTTTTTAATTATTATTATTTTTTATTATTAAAGCCCCTACCCCTCCTACCCACACAGTACACTCTCAAACAGACAGTATATCCTACACAAACACATAGTACTTTCCCACACATACACAGTACACCCCAAAAACACACACACACATACCCACTATACACAGACACTGCAACCCCTATTAATATACAGGCACACTACAGCTCTTAGATATACACACACAGTGCAATCACAATACACAAACCCCTGCCAACACACACACAATATCCACAGCCCAATACATGCGCAGATGCATAAACTATAGCCCCTAGATACACCTAGTACACCACAAACAGACACCTTTCTTTTCACACACTACACCATGCACAGACCCTTCTATACACATGCCAGCCCTCTCTATTTTTGTGTTTGGCTATAGAGGACACATACAAACCTACTAAGCTCCAAACAACAGTACCAAAACCTGCTTATTTTTAAGTCACAAATGATTTTGTCAGATTTACCCAACAATTGTTTATTTCTTCTTGGAGGATTTCTTATCTCCTGGGTAAATAGTACTGAATCAGTCTGTACTACAAACAATGCTAACTGCAACACTGGCCAGTGGTGGCAGCCCATTCAGATGACAGCTAATAATTGTTGGTGGAATTAAAGTGTTAACTGTGGACTGCAAAAAGGAAAAGTACCCAATTCTTCTCACTTTACATGCATGACAGTAGTGGTTAATTTCTTATGGACCAGTAATAGGAGAGCAAGCAACCATATATGACCTCAGCATCAAATACTTTGTTACCTGCTTTTACTTCTGAAAGTGCCATGTTGTTCAGCTGCACTTCTAGATGTCTTTGGGTTATTAGAAGAGAGATAGAAGTAGGCTTTAAAGTAATACTACAGTGTAAGGAATACAAAGCTGTATTCCTAACACCATTGTGTGTCTCTGGAGGAAACGGAGGTTATGATAGGAAAGACAACTGGGAAAATGGGGGTGGGGGAGGAGTAAGGAACAGGATTCCACCTGCATGGAAAAAAAAGAAGTCTATTTTTTACTTACCTTTTCTCCCTCACAGCGTTAGTCTCTGCAGCTGGCTCTGCCTCCTTGGCTGAGATTATCAAGAACAAATAGCTCAGCCAATCTCTAGGAAAGCACTGGGAGACAAGGAGACCATTTGACAAACATAGCAGCGTTTCATTCTGCTATTTATGCACAAACGCCTCCAGTGGTTGTTTGAGTGGCTGCCACTAGAAGCATTTAAACCCTGCAATGAAAACATTGCCATTCTGCCATTACTTTTTCTGATGCAGGGTTAAAATGAGAGGATGCATGGCACCCAGACCACTTCATGAAGATGAAGTGGTATGGGTGTTTATAGTGTCCATTTAAGGTTATAATGTTATAATCAACTTGACATTAGGTGCAGGGTGCTCATGACCTCTGAAATTATGCAAAGTTGTGATGGTACATAGAATGGCTCTTTGACAGCAGAGCCCCCAAGATATATTTGGAAAACTTGGTAGACACAAGTCTTTAAAATTATGATGTAGGAGGTACTCACCTCCCACATGTACACATTGTTCTTTACTTGAGAGCGCTTCTTTTTTTCACCAATAAATGGCCCAAACTTCTTTCCCTTTGGAACTTGCTTCCTTGTCCAAATACCTAAAAATAACAACATAAAATCTATAGTTATGATATGCACTGTGGTTCTTAGATACTTGCAAATATTATTGGTTATTTTATTGTGTTAATTAGATTTTAGGCATGATCATCATGCTTGATATTAAATTGTCATATTATACAGAAAATGGGAAAATTGTTACCAAGGATTCTATCTTTATGACTACTCATTTTTAATATGGGGTTCCGCTTTAATGCTTAGCAATTGTCAGTCAGTTCAGTTTTGGTGCAAACGCAGCCAAAAGATGTCATAGGACAAAATAGGGACCACTTTGTCTTACAGCAAATTCTGTCGCTGTGCTGAAGATTCTTCAACAAGGTAGGTCTGTTGCCTGAACTTTGGATGGCCTAACTTAACTATCAGGTAGAATGAGAAAATACCAGCAATAAGCAAACAATTTGTACTGGACAAAAAAGGGATAAAAAACACAAAGACTGGTAGACTGGAACATAGGAGCTCAGTAACAAAAGACAAACTCGCACTCAAAAACAAGCTGAGGACTGGTGCACAGGAACACTGGAATAGTGAACTCGACAAATTCAGTGTCAAATACAGGCCAAGTCTGGTACACTGGATACGGGAACAAAACAATGAGCTAGATAAAAATAAAATAACAGGAACAATTAGGGGTCTAGAACACTGAAAATCACAATGAGGAACAGACTAATGCACTTAAAAGGGACATTATAGTCACACATACAGCTCACTGTAGTTGTTCTGGTGAGTATAGTCAGTCCCTGCAGGCATTTTCATGCAAACAATGTCTTTTCAGAGAAAAGACAGTGTTTACATTGCCCCCTAGGGGCACCTCCAGTGGCCACTGGAGGTTTTTCCTGGGGGAGTGTTGCATGGTGTGCAGCACTGCCGTTCAGAGTCTCCTCTATGAGGAGATGCTGATTGGCCTGACCGGCATTTGGCCCTGCCACCACCCTGCCGATCTTAGACAATCCAATGTTTTCCCTTTGGGAAAACATGACAGCCAGTAGGGGGTGCATGCGCTACTATGACCAAATTTCATGTGACCTTTGACATCCTCCTTCTTTGTACGAGGATGTCAAACGTCATCAAATGCAGATCATAGGAATGCACCGGATTCAATGTTTTCCTATGAGAAGAATTTGATTGGAGCGCACACAGCGCTCACCTTGCATGTGCACATTGTCCTGAATACTTCTCTGTGAGAAGCATTAAATTGGACAATCAATGAAGAAGTAACATCTCCAGGATGACATTGTGGGAGAGGGTACTGGTGGTAGCAAACGGAGTTCACTACTGAAAAGAGGTAAGCTAAAAAAAAATTTTGTCAGCTCAAAATAGGGGCCCTAAAACTTAATAGGGACTTTGACAATACAGAGTTAAAGGGACACTTCAGGCTCCAAAACAACCTAATCTAAATTAAGTTGTTATGGTGGCAAAATCCACTCCCCCCTCACCTCAGGTGGCATGCCGCTTCTGAATTTTCAGAAGTGTCAACGGGCATGGGCACTGCTGATTGGCTGAGAGTGGTCAGCTGATGCTCTCAGCCAGTTACTCACCATTCACAAAACTGGCTTGGAAAAGGTACGTTTGTTTCCAAGCCAGTTTTGTGAATGGGAGGAGCCGAAATCAGTGATGGAGGCAACTTTGGGATTAAACCATTCAGAATGGTTTAACTCCTTGAGGTAAGAGTGCTTGCAGAGGCCTCCTGACACCATAACAATTTTATTTAGATGAAGCTTTTTTGGGTCATGGAGTGTCCCTTTAAGAATACGTTTGTTTCTTTCTTTAAGGAAACTCGAAATGTGAACAAATTGATGATAAAAAAGACTTAGGAATGTAAATAAACCAGACGGTAAAGTTCATACAGGGTAAATCAGAACATTCAGTGATAATATTTAGGAGTGGTTGCAAAGCAACAATGAGAGTCATGCTAATATGACAGGGAAGTACTCATCATGTTTTTATCCACATTTACTACAACTTGCGTAAATAACCGATAAAGAGGTTCATGACCAGGGAGTGTCCAACCTTGACCATCCAGTAGCTAAAGGACTAGTATTTGTTTAACCCCTTGCCAGCCAATATAGAAACAGTAAAAATTAATTTGTAATCTAAAGCTAGATATTCATATAGGAGTTTAACAAAATATTACACTTTACTGTCTGACATAAACAAATTATTTTCACAGCAGACAATATGTAATAAAGGCTGTGCAGTTAATGTCAAATAACTCCACGTTTCTCTTGTAGAAAATCAGAATATTATATTTTAAATTTTTAAACTTTTGCCAGTCAATTATCTTTGTTAAATATTTAATCAATTCGTATGGGGTTCATAAACTCAAAGCAATCTGCTACAGAAAGGACACAACAACAAATAGTCCTCCAGCTTCTAATGCTGGGCAAAAATGCTAGATTTGCTTTTTAAAATGCATTAGCTTTTAGGAACCATATTTTAAAATAATTTTGTCATGCAAACCTTACACTGTGTCACTTTATAGTTCATAACATTTAATGTATGCATGTGCTAACCAGTAGTGTATCAAGTGAGGTGCAGGGACAGGGCGCCCCGAGTGACAGTCCTAATTCTTGCTCTTTGCACATGGCAGTGTGGCGTCATTATCCTCTCCCTGTGTCTAGGGACATGGAGTAGTGATGCCGCTGGCACCTGCTCCTTGGAAAGAGCTGCATGGCAATTGGGAGGCAGAAGGAGTTCCTGCTTCCCCAACCACTAGACACCAGGGGCTGTTCTCTGGTCTCCTATCCTCCCCTGCATCCTGTACCCAGAAAGGTAGGACTGGAAGCAGAGTTGATGACTATGTGCCTTTAAGACTTTGTGTCTGGTGTGTGTTATCGTGTATGCCTGTAATAATGGGTGAATGTGCGCCTGCCTATGTGACGGTTTCTGTCTGGCTTTGCGTGTCTAGATGTGACAGTGTCACTATGTGACCATGTGTCTCCTACTGTGTCACTCTGTGCATGTTTGTGTATCCATATATATTTAAGTGACTGTGTGTCTATAAATGTTACTATACATGCCCACGGTTGCATGCATGTCATGTAGGTGGGGAGGACACAAAGGGTAAAAGGGTTAAGAAAAAGACAAGAGGTAAGTGAGATTAAGAGATACACAAAAAGTAAAGCGGGTTAAGAAAAATACAAGAAAGGAGTACATAAACATTTTTTTTCATATCGCTAAGCAAATTCTGCAACTGTTCTTGCCTTGTTTATTTTGATTTAGCAAGAGGGAATTAAGGATGAAACTAACCTTCCAAGAAAGGAAAGCAGGATTGGTAGAGGGCTACAAAGATGGGCGTACATACATTTTAGGAGAGAATTAGTGGGGGACAGGGGACATGAAAGAGGAAAGAGCTTGTTAGCAAAGAATGAGGTATGGAATGCCCAGATTTGGTAAAAAGCAGGTGGTCAAAAAGTGAACAAAAATAAATTGGGTAATGGGTGGTGGAGCAAAGGAAAAGTGTTTGGTAAAACTCTGTAAACATTTGCTATGGGCAGGACCCATTCAATATTTATACCATCAAATTATTCTGATCATTTTGGTTGGAGAAGACACAACTTCAGAAGTAATGAAAATAAGGGGACATCCGGATCAAGAAATAGAAGTGATTAATGAAGCGGCATTTGCACACAAAAAAAAAGTTAAGTCAGAATTTTGCCATTGTTTTGCCAAGTTAAAATAACTCTGAAATGTCCAAAATAAGGTATTTTTTGTGTTTTATACCCTTCTCCTAATTGATTATAGCTTCATTTTAGTATTTCATTATGTTTAGGGGTTCCTACTTTCAGGGTTGGTAACCCCTTTTAGCAGGTTGAAACACATCTGTTGTGTCCATATGAGAAAAAAAAAATTCCTGAAATCACACTGCTTGGTTTTATCACGGGCTATAGGAACTTTTCTCTGGTATACCCAGATTGAGGACTGATGGCAAATATATTAATGCACATATTGTAATTTATGCGTTCTACCTCAGTGTAGTAAGTTCCATTTGTGGCATAACAACTCATTCTTTAAATTATTTATTTATTTATAAAAAGAAGCCTAATAAATGGAGTATACCCCAGGGTGAATATAAGACAACCCCCCCTTTCCTCACAGAACAGACAAAACCGCAAGAGAAAAACTGTTTTAAATGTAACTGTCCTTTCTTGAAAGCAGCTTTGGCACTTTTGCACTTTCAATAATACAAATTAGATCAGCACTAACTTGGGACATAGTCCTTGTCTCATGTAATTGCCGATCTCTGTCTATATGTGGTAATGGGATGTGCTTTTGCGGCCATCTCTTGCAATTTCATATCAGCTTTTGGTCACACATATAATGGGATCAGGAATCATCTTGCTCATGTGCAGTATATACCTATAGCACCCTACTGTGCAAGATTGAAGTATTTATTATTACACAACTGCATTTCTTACCAAGTCGAGTCTTATCTACTTCAGAAGGTGCAAGTGTCACTTCCTCAGGAAGCCCCCTAAGTACATGTTGAGGCACCTCAGCCAATGTCTCTACAGTTGCTGAAGATTTTATTGCATCCTACAACATAAAAATAAACAGGGGTGAGAAATTATTAACTATTCTAAACATATGCAAAAAAACAAACACACACAAAAAACACAAAAACCAAAAGGACTACTCACAAAAATAAATAAATAGAGGGAAAAACATTTACTCAAAAAAGGTTTAAAAAAAAAAAAAAAACAGCAATAGTGATATCCTCGGTATTATGCATAAGCAACATTCTATATAGACAGAAGAGGCACAAGGTAGATTCTGAGCTATTGTAGAATTACAACTTCCAAGACCCTTTGTCAGTCTTTAGTCTGCGTTATTATTACGAATATTCATAATTTCATCCATTTTATTGTATTTTGTTTCTCATTATGAATTTACAAAACTAGTTTATACAGATCAGGACATTTACAAACATTTATGTAAATGTAGTTTGTAATTATTGTCTGTATAAATTGTACTTTGATTTAATATGCCTAGCATGATAATTTGTAGTTGGCAAATAACCATGTTTGGGCTTTATGCCACAAAAGCTCTGTGTATTGCATGTAGACTACCATCTAGGGGTTAAGTACACGTAATTAGGCAGACAGATGCTACAGATCAGAAGATGGAGTCTACATAGTCAAGGGTCAGAGTAAATTTCAAAGGGAGAAGTCTGGCTCCCCACAAGTCGCCACTGGTCACCAGAAGGGCACATGCGAAAAAAGACAGGGAAGTGATGCCCAAGTTAGTGTGTTCTCTTATTGCATTTTCCAATAAAAATGTCCAAGCACGCCTGAATGTATCCAGAGCATCATAGAACAACAACAACAACACGCTGTACACAGGATTGCTGCAGAGTTAAGCATTTTTTTATATGCTTTATTCATGTACACGTATTTTACAGTTAAATAAAATAACAAATAAGTACAGTAACAAAAAAAAACAAAAAAAGACCAATATTAGGAGATGCGCTTGTATAATTTATTAAGTTATTGCAATAAACAAAAATGTCCAGTCTGATTCTAAAAAGATCTGAGTAGATGTGAAACTTGTGACATAACCATTTATTTATTGAAATATCTGGATCATTTTAACCATCCACGATCTCTTATGCATAAAAGTTGTCCAGGTACCTGATATTTCTCTTTAGCACAAACAACAAATCAGTATCTTTTAAAACTCCAAGTTCCCCATTTTTAGCGCTCTATCCTCTCCCCAAATCTTAATAAAACTCACCTGATTCATTTTGCACTCCTGAGGGGTTCTGCAAAACTGTCAACACCTCAGATTAATTGTTGCCTAAAAAACAAACATAAAAAAACAGTCAAATTTATAGTATTGCACAATATACTAATCAGTGTGACAAAAATAGTAATAGACAAAAAAAAGAGTTTGTAATTATTACAGAATTGATATCTTTTCTGATGATACAAGACCCCTTTACTTCCCCTCAACAGGATTGAAACTAATTTGATTACAGATTAAATTAGTATTAACCTCTCCAGAGGCCAACAATGTTTCTGCTTGACTTGACACAGCTAATGGCTGCCCTCCAGGCCTCTCATCCCCTAAAGACCAACAAAATGAAGGCAGCAGCCAGTAGGAAGTTTAAAATTCCTATCAGCCAATAGAAAACCACGTTTGTCTTAGCCACGTAGAATTCTGGGAGCCAATGGGGATTGGCAGCACAAATGCTAAACACAGATCTGAACTTTATGTTTAAAGTTAGACAATCGATATATACATCATTATACATGAATAAATGAAATGTTATTTGAACAATCTCACATGTAATACACACACACACACACAAACACACGGGGTATGCAGCCATACCATCTCACCAGTGCATAGCATCACAAGTATTATTATTAATTGCATACATTAGTGTCAACTACTTGCCAAAATGTGATTATTATATTATTATTTTCAACACCAAACAAATTATGTAGTGATTTGAAGGAAAAATTAGCTACACAAGGTTTTTAAATTGTAGTTTCCCATTTAATGTGAGCTGGGACATGGACCACACAAGTCGCAGATAACGGACTGTGTAGCAGAATAATAACACTGAGAAAAATAAGAGACATATATAGGCTAGAGAACAGATATTCTGCCTAGCCCTGACATAGGGCAAGTGCCCATCTGGCAAGTATCCTGAATGAGGTGGGTCATTTCTGATTTGGGATCTGTATTACAACATATCGATGAGTCAGTGGGAATGCTTATGTCAGTCACCCTCGCAGGAGGCAAGGGACCCTTCCTGGCCGCACTAGCAACACCAACCACAAAACAGGAGACTTGGCTGCAGGCAGACTCACGAGGGCTCAGGAGAGACATTTAAAGTACACATCGCAAGCGGGAGTGCTGGACTCGGAGTGAGGGTGAGTGTATCGATGTGTGCGTGTAAGTGTATGTACCTGCTGAAAATAAACTAACAAGCCTAACACTTCCTGGACAGGCGTGAGACCACTGGGCAAAAATACACATTTTTATATCAAAAAAAATATATGACGACTTATTTAGAAGGCCATAAGCTGATCTTGATTGTCAAGTCTGTCTTGCTGAAATTGAATGTACATTTTTTTATACAAGTGGTCCTCACTTTGCGACCTTCCTGTTTTGCTATGGCTCGCACTTATGACCAGCTCTCTAGCGTGGGGATTCAATGGATTCCCCATGTTAGAGAGCTGTTCAATTTCCGCGAACATAGACAAGCGCACCAGAGCAGGGAATCCCTCTAATCTGTGTTAGGGGAATTTTCCCTGAACATAGAAAAACGCACCAGTGCATCTCTAATCTATGTTTGGGGAACATTCCCCTAACATAGATTTGAGGTATTCCCTGCTCTGCTGCACTTGTCTATGTTCAGGGAAATTTCCCCAAACATAGACCTACACTGGTGTGCATGCGCCTCACTTATCCAAAATTCCCCGAACATAGACCTGCACTTGTGTGCATACGCCTCACTTACCAACCATTTCGTTTTACGAGTTGTAAGTGTCAATATGTTGGAGCCAGTGTTATTGCTACGTACTAAAAACACCTGGGACTTCATCCTAAGGGAAAAGCTGATTTAATGTAGCCCAAAAGCTAGTTCCTCAGATGTTTTAAAACTACAACCTCATGATGCCTTGTCATTCTAAAGTCGCACAAAGCATCATGGGAGTTGTAGTTCTACAACATCTGGGATCTACCTTTTCGACACTCCTGCATTACACTAACAGAGAGTTGGGGGTTATGTAATGGGTGTCCGCAGGCAGGGTTGAGAAACCTGATGCAAAAGCTTAATAGAAGAATCAAGTTCCCTTTACCTGATGTGAGTGTCGCAATTTCTAATCTGTTTTAATGTTAACACGATAGTCATACACCCCTGACAAATGCACTATAACTGAATTATAAAAATAAAAAAAAATGAACAATCTTCATTTAGTGTTGCATTTGGCCATAGCAATAGGCTATAGTACCAGATTGCACCCTCACCATCATATTGCACCCACAGCACCAGATTGCACACAAAAGCTATTGCCACAGAACTAGGTAGCACACACACACACACACACACACACACCAGTTGCCACAATAATAGGAGACACTCACAGCACCAGCTACAGAACCAGAATGTGCCCACAGCACCAGATTGCAAGATGTAATGTGCCACAGGCCCAGAGCACCTGATTGCACTCGAAACACTTCCCACAGTATCTTACAAATGCCAGTAATATTAATACTAATGGACCCTGAAGGGGGGAGGTCTCTCTAAAAGAGTCCAGTAGAGGCTGCAATAGTCCAATATGCCCTGGGGTGGGTGGGAGATGTCTCTCTAACACTTTGGTCCCCATTCACTCTCCGATACCCAGCCCAAGTTGGCTCCTCTCACCTTAATTACTGTTGCTGGCAGCTTTGTCTGGCAAGCGTCAGACTTCGGTTGCCGGTGGAAATTTAGGTGTGCTACACAGACAGGGCCGGTGCAAGCATTTTTGACTGCTACCTGTAATTATATGTCTGTCACCTCTTAAGCCTAGAGGGACTAAGGAAATATTAAAATCTTGATGTAAACATATGTGATTTCTCAAAGGTATATATATATATATATATATATATTAAATGTTAAACTGCTTTGTGTTTTTTTTACTACTACTCAGGCAAAGATGCGTTTTTCTGCCACCACCTCACCCCCCCAAAAAAGCAACTTCACCTGTGTGTCTCTTAACCCCCCCCTTTTGATTTTCGTACCCGCTTTTGTTTTTCTTATTCCAGGTTTTGAATGACTTACTCCTTTTTGTGTATCTTACCATCAATTTGTGTTACATCCCCCTTTATTTCTTAAACCCCCTTGTGGATCTCTTACATTCCCCCCTTTGTGTGTCAATCTCCCCTCGCCCAGCCCCTGTATGTCTGTCAAAATACCTTGAATATCCTCCTACCCAATCACCAACTGTAGAGATCCCCCCACTCCATGTTCTTTAAGATTCTATATAAACAATAAATCATTTATTGTATCACACAATAAAGCTGTTGAGGAATAACCTCTTCAAACAATTGGAACCACGTATTTTACAGCTTCTGTCAGAACACATATCTGTTCATTATACATAGTTAGTCCAAAATTCAATAAAAATGTTCCTTCATTTAACCCATTTCATTCAATCATTAATTTCTATGGAAATGTAAAATTAAAGCAAAATATTTATTTTAAAGAGAGCATATGCAATTTTATGCGCACACTTACAGCCAGATATAATGAGAATTTTTTTTTTTTTTTTAAATGCATATAGAATGGTAAATATCAGGTCTAGTCTTAAGTGTCAGTTTATAAATGCCAAAAGTATTATAAGCACTTGTTCCCTGATCAGCCACACATTAAAAGGGACATTTTAGGCACCCAGACTACCTCAGCTCATTGAAGGGGCTGTGTGCACAGTCCTAGGCCCCTTAACCCTGAGCCATTGCCGCGCATGAACTTTAGGTCTCCCCGGCCGACTGACGTCTGTGGGGTAGGAGAGAGGGGTTTTTTTTGTTTGTTTTTTTAACCCCTTCTGCACCAAGGGCAGGGGGACGGGGTGTTGACAGAGGGGGAAGCTATAGTGCCAGGAAAGAGAGTTTGTTTTCCTGGAACTATAGTTTCCCTTTAAAACCACCTGCCTATTATCATGTAAGTCCCCCTAATGCTGCCAAAACAGCTCTAATGCATCAAGGCATGGACTCCACAAGACCTCTAAACGCATCCTGTGCTATCTGGCACCAAGTCATTAGCAGCAGATCCTTCAAGTCCCGCAAGTTGCAGGGTAGGGCCTCCATCGATCGGATTTGTTGCTCCAGAACATCCCACAGATGCACAATGGGATTGATATCGGGGAATTTGGAGGCCAAAGAAATACCTTGAACTCTTTGTTCCTCAAACCATTACTGAAATATTTTTGCAGTGGGACATTATCTTGCGGAAAGTAGCCACTGCCATCAGAGTATATCATTGCAATGAAGGGGTGTACCTGGTCTGCAGCGATCTCTAGGTAGGTGGTACGTGTCGAAGTAGCATTCACATAAATGCCAGAACTAACTGTTTCCCAGCAGAACATTGCCCAAAGCATAAAACTGCCTCTGCCAGCCTGCCTTCTTCGTACACTGCCTCCTGCTGCCATCTCTTCCCCAGGTAAATGATGCAAACACACCCAGCCAGCCACCTGATCTATAAGAAAATGTGATTCATCAGACTAGGCAAGGTCACAAGCAGTGATAATTGTTTTTTGACAGATCTATACACTAAGCCCATAGACAGAAATAGCCTCCTGGAATTCAACAGTTTCAATTCCGAATGGACTATGCGTTCATTACCCCATAGTAAATTCATCAGGCCAGAAATATCTACACAACCCCAGCATCTCAATGAGATGAGTGACAGATTTTTAAGTCGAGGCTATACCACTACACTACTTGATACGGAGAAAGAGAGAATACTTGAATTGGAGAGAGATTGCCTGTTATTGCCTGAAGTGAACGCACTAGGATACCTTTTGTATCTACATTTAATGTACACAGTAATCGAGTGGCACATATTGTTTGTAAACACTGGGGGATCCTGAAAAGATCCTTTCCATATATTCCAGAGTTTCAAGCTATTCCCCTTTTTTCATATAAAAGACCACAAAATATTAGGAACATGTTGGTTAAAGCTGCCATAGGCACTTGAAAGTAAAAAACACGATTTTTGTCCACACCAGTTTGTGGCACTTTTCCATTCCATAACTGAAGTTCCTGTAACTCCATTATTAAGGGTGATAGATTTTTTTCATCCTGATGA